ACCATGAAAGACAACAACCAACCAACCTCCGATTGGGTGGTTTTTGTCCTTGAAACCTTAAGTTTATTATTCGTCACAGAAGTAGGACACTTAACAAAGTCACTCCAGGTTTTCAAATTTGTCCAACCTTCAGGAGGAGAGAGATGATGTGATGAGGGAGCTGTCACAAGCTGGGATGCAGCTCTTTAGTAAAGTCCATGCTGACATGCAAGCACACACACACACACTCACACACACACACACATCTGACAGAATTTACCTTTTTGTTAGTGTAAAAGCCACAACCTATACTGGGTACAGCAACTGAGGCAGGAACACTGCCTCAGAACTGACCAAACCATTCATCCTTCACACAGACACATCCCAGGAAAGATTGGGAGCTGTGTTTTATCAAAGAGAAAAATGCATGATAACTAGAGTACTTGTTTACTTGATGGGCCCTTGGCTGGTCCTTGGTTGCTCCTTTGCTGGTCCTTGGTTGGTCCTAGGCTGGTCTTTAGCTGGCTTCTTGCTGGTCCCCCACAATTCCCATTTAAACATCAATATTTGTACAAAAATATTCTTGCTGTGATGATTTGTGGACATTAAGATCTAAAGATAAGCATAATCTCCTGGTCAGACCCTGCAATTCAGTGAAAGGGTGTAGTCAGAGTAAAAAAAATATTCAAGAGGGGGTCTGTCCAGTGGCTAGAACTTGGAGGGGATTTTGCTGGGAGTTTGAGGGAAGTGGGCTTCCATTCAGCTGGTGTTTGACTAGGAAAGGCCATTTTGAATGGCTGCTACTGTACAACATTAGAATTTCAATTAAATGGGCAATATGTGAAAGGTTTCAAGACTACCTAATTTATGCTTCACACTTTGTAGTGTATAAACAGTCCCTTAATCTATATGCTCCCAACAGCTAAGCTTAATGCTACAGGTCATAGGTGGGTGGATGAGCTGTCTGAGTTTGACTTATCGATTAAATATAAGCTGGAAAAGAGTAACACAGATGCAGATGGTCTATCCCACATGCCATTATATCGAAATTTTTTCATGACAGTGTAAAGAGGAGGTGGGTCATTTCTGGTCACACACAAACGAGAAAGATCTCTGGCCCCCACAGACCTGTACCTTCTTTAAAAAGTAATTCTGTACTTCACTTGTTACCTGTTTTAATGGCATCATTTGAACTTTTAAACTGTATCAAATACACCTGTCCATATCCTGAAACAGTCAGACTCAACAATGGCCAAGACCAAAGAGCTGTTAGAGTGTCAAACATTCTGTACCTGCACTAGGCTGGAAAGCATTAATCCACAATAGACAAGCAGGTTGATTTGAATATATCAAATGTGGGAGCATTCAGTACCATCTCTCTTGATTGAAGCTTCTCCCATGGGATCAAAACTGTGCACACGTAGTACCTGATGAATGACTTACAGAAAACTAGGAAAAAGTAAAAAAGGCTACCATCAGGAACACACTATGCAAAAAAGGACTGATATACTGCTACGTGTATCCCCCTGCTTAAGCCAGAACATGTCTTGGCCAGTCTGGAGTGTGCCAGAAAGCATATGGATGCCCCACAAGAGGATAGGGAGAATATATCATCTGGCTATATTAAGCCAAAAAAATAACATGTTGGCACAAACTAAACTCATCCTGTTTGTAGGAATAAAAATGCTGAGCCATATCCCATGAACACTTACTTTCTGTCAAGCATGCTTTGGGACTTTATTTCTGTAAAATGGGACAGGATGACTGACCCATGTTAAGGGCCATATATTTTGATATTTTGAGCCAAAGCCTCCTTCAAAACATTTAGAGTATTTAAGATGCAACTTGATTGTCTCTTCCAGCATGACTATGGTCCAACAAAGAAATTGCTTCCTAAACAAACATTTCAAGATCATAGAGTGGCCTTTCCAGTTTTAAGACCTCACCCCACAGAAAAGTTTTGGGAAAGGTTAAAGGTCCACTTTTAATTTTACACACATATATTTATTTTCTTTTGCAAGATAAGTGTAATATTGTGATTGGATAACATTTATATAAATAACAACAATAACTATCATAAGAAAAATTATGTAATTGACAGAATCAAAGCCATATTTCCAGGGGCATAACACCTTTTTCAGAGTTATTTATCAGTCTGTCACATTCAGTTAAATTTTTCCTTTGAATACCTTTGACTAATACCTGCCTAGTTTCTCCCTATTATGAATTTTCTCAGAAAGTTATAATCTCTCCTTACACTTGAAAAAGGTCATTTTAGTCAATTGGATGTGATGTTTACAAGATGTTTTGCCTCTCATCCAATAGGCTTCTTCAGTTCTAACTAGTGGTGTAGAGCACTGAGAAAAATATCCCTTAAGTTTGACCATTGGTCAAATGCCTCATTAAAGTGTGAGTCAGTTGAGGGTTGGTGAGAGGTGTATCTTCTCTGTATTGTTCCTAAAAGTGCTTTGTAAATAGGTGAAAGGTCTAAGAGCAACTCCTCTGTTGAGAGACGTTTTTTCCAGGTTAAAGGAATAGTACACCCAAAACATGATTAGCCTTCATTTTCTACTCACCCCCATGCTGAACAACACTCTGGAGTACTTTTTTGATATCTCAAATGCATCTGGAGATCTGGGAGGCTTCTTGCTGTCTGCTGACATTCAAATAATGGAGGTCTATGGTGACCGAGACAGAAAGGTCCATAAAAGTCCACAAAAAACGTGTCAATATTCCTCCATACTGCTCGTCCAATGTATTCCAAGTGTCCTGAGTGGGTAGCATCCAGAATTTACTCGAAACGAAGTCATTTAGAATGTTTTTAGAGCATAAACAGTAGTGTATAGGATTTCCTGAGCACATGCGCGCTCACGACGCTACGGAAGCCGGCAGACCAAACCAGATGAAAGTGCGCATTCAGCGTCTGCTCTGCAAATAATGCGAGCGTAGAAGGAGAAATGTGCTGTTTACCTGTGCAAAGAAAGAAACAACGAAAGAAAAATGTCTGAGGACTTCAGTGTTGAGGAATAGCATGAGTTCTTTGCCGAGCTGAATGCGCTGGTTTGGTCTGCCGGCTTCCGTAGCATCGTGAGCGCGCATGTGCACGCTTTCAGGAAATCCTATACACTACTGTTTATGCTCTAAAAACATTCTAAATTACTTCGTTTCGAGTAAATTCTGGATGCTACCCACTCAGGACACTTGGAATACATTGGACGAGCAGTATGGAGGAATATTGACACGTTTTTTGTGGACTTTTATGGACCTTTCTGTCTCGGTCACCATAGACCTCCATTATTTGAATGTCAGCAGACAGCAAGAAGCCTCCCAGATCTCCAGATGCATTTGAGATATCAAAAAAGTACTCCAGAGTGTTGTTCAGCATGGCGGTGAGTAGAAAATGAAGGCTAATCATGTTTTGGGTGTACTATTCCTTTAACAAAGATGGCTTCCTCAAACCCCTCGCTCAAACCATATATCTTTCTTTGCAAGAATATCCACATTGTTGTCCTCAAATGAGTGTCCCTTAGCTTTCAGGTGTAAGTGAACAGTCCTGTCCGTGAGTCCTGTCCTGAGGGACATCATGTCTCCATCCATCGACCAACATCATGTTGCAGGACAGATGTCCCAGGATTAGGAATATGCTATAGTCCATGTCAGGGAGAAGATGCCACAGGAGCATGCCTAGGCATTGTAAGAACAACAGACAAATTGTTACCACACACAATACTGAGACTTATTTCGACCTTTTTTTAAGGACATTATATCTAAGTTAGATGACTTAGTTTGTTTTTCCACTAATTTTGTGTGTGACTCCAAATCCAGGCCTCTGTTGTTTAATTAATTTGATTTCCATAAATTTTTGAGTGATTTTTTTTTGTCGACACATTCAAATTTGTGCAGAACAAAGTTTTGAAGAATATTATTTAATTCATTCAGACATAGGACGTGTTATTTGAGTGTTCACTTTATTTTCCTGAGCAGCGTAATCATTCTTGTTGAGTGATAATAATGGTCGATGTGAGTCATGCAAGGTCAGCTGACCTTAATATTACAAATGGATGTAAGCAGGCCTTTGCTAACCTTCATGATCCATTAAGGGGGTATTAGAACATTAGATATATGAAGCTGGTTCAGATCAAAATGCTAGAGGATATTGGCCCCAAAGGACCAAGGTTAGAAAACAGAGGACAATTAAGACCAATAATATGTTCTTTTAGGTAATACTGTGTTTTTTGTTTTATTTTAAATGCAGCACATAAAACAACTAGTAGCTTTTAATTAGTTATTACCTATAAACCAACCACATGGCGCAAGTTTGTGTCCAGATATGGCATCTTACTTGACATTTCTTAAACAAAATAAACTTTGACTTTACAACTGTATTGTGTTACAAAGTGTGACACAATTTCTTTTTAGATGTGGGTGTGTGTGACTTAGTAAGATCTCAATCGCTTAATATTTCTTAACTCAGGAGGTAGAAAACACTTACATTTGCAGATCGCTTTTACAGAGGCTTTTCTTAGATTGCTTCAGACTGACCTAGTTTAAATGACAAATTTCCAAATGCAGGGATAAACATATATATATATATATATATATATATATATATATATATATATATATATATATATATATATATATATATATATATATATATATATATATATATATATATATATATATATATATATATATATATATATATGTATATGTATATATGTGTATATGTTTGTATGTTTGTGTGTGTGCTAAAATAAAGTAAATAAACTGGTGAAATACAGACATTAGACAGACACTATTAGTACAACAGGCTGATAATCCTTTGTGGTTTATCAGAAACTGGGGTTAATTACACAAAATAAGGTCTGTTTAATTAAACCAGTAAAGCAGATGAAACTGCACACTGTGTGGCACAACATACAGGTTGGGTTATTCAAAGCGGCAGACATGATCAGGTAATCCATTGGTCCTGTGTTCAAGTAATCTGATAGGTGATCTCTTCCAGTGAACTGGAGTCAAGACTTTAGTTGACCATTCTCCCTTCATACCATTAGGGCATCAAGAGAAGGCTTCTGGTTTTACTTTTATCAGCAATGTTAGGCAGATTTAGTCAAACTGGATGCAGGAGAAACACATAAATCTTTGTAAAGAAGAAGGCTGTTAATTGATCAGAGTGGTAATGGGGCATTTGTTCACTCTGTGGATGGGAACTCTCCTGCAGTTTTGTCATGCTACAATTTATATCAACGAATGGGCTGTAAAAGTGAGAGGCAATCCTGAGTCTGTGAAGAGAATAGCAGAAAAATATGGATTTACAAACCTGGGTCAGGTGAGTGTGATGAAACACAAAGTTTTGTTACTTGTTTAGAATCAATTACTGTGAAAGTTTCTTAGGAACAACAAGCTTAAATATGGATATTATTAATATTTAATATTGCTCCAAATTCCTTTTAGCACATTTTTTGTTTCAGAAGATTTTTCCACAAGTACAAAGCATGTCAATATTATTCTGAAAGCCCTGGACAAAAAATAGATGCACTTATATATGTAGGTACAAAAGTAAAAAAAAATCAACAGCAAAAAGAAACATAAAAGATATGCAAGACTCATACTTTTGTTAACATTAAAAAAGTTATGCTTTTGGAAGTGAAAAATCTGAAGAAGAAAGTAGCACTTAATATCAATAATCAAAATGGATTCCCCATCTCAAGTTAAAACCATCAAAGATTAATTGTTGCGTAGCGTAAAAACCTCAAGGGAATATAATTTTGAACTTTATCTCTGTTTTATTTAAGGTTTTAAGACCCACAGCACAAACTAAATAATTTACTAAAGGAAATAAATAAACTATGCCTTTAAAACTCAACTACTCCCTTGAGTTTGCTTCTGTAATGAAACTTTCAGGGTTTGGATCTGCTGTGAGTAAAATGAAGCTTAACACTCAATTAAAGCTAAATAGACTACTTTATAGTGCTAAGGTAAGAAAAGAGTAAAAAAAAAATGTAAACCCTAAAACAGTAAATTTACCAACGGAGCCACAAGGGAATAAATTAAGGCCATTATTTCTTCCCTTGTATGAAACAAAATGCAAGCTAATGACATTTTGTATTAAAGCATACAGGAGTTTAAAAAATATGCAGACATCATGACACATTCTGCTTGTGTGTGCATGTTTTAAGGTGAACTCAGACAGCAGTACAGCTCAAGTCCTGCGGCTCAGGTTGCACTTACCTGAAAAACTATCACAGGTGTTAGGTAGCAAGTGATTGGAAGACACCAACAACAATTTTGATAATTCAGCAGGTGGTTAGAACACTGACTAAACAAAAACAGCATATTTATCTTAAAAAAGAAAGGTTTTATGAACTGGATTTTATTTGTTTCACCAGATTGGAGCCTTGAAGGGTTACTACAACTTCCGCCACCAGCAGACACCAAATCGCTCCACAGAATTCAACAAAGATGTGACTCATCTCCTAACAAAGGAGACAAAGGTGAAGTAATGTGATACAGTGGAGATGGAGGACGCTCCTGAAATATTGATGTCAGCATTTTTTTTTTTTTTGGCTGGGATGCATTGAGGTGTATTAGAATAGATTCACAAGCTTGATGTACTGTAGCAAAGGATACTTGCATCACCTTCACTGTAAACTCTGTTGACTGCTAATGCAACATACTATAAAAGACATTAAGTGAATTGAACACCAACACATCCAAGAGGGAAAGTACTTGTAACTCTTTTTTTAACCAAAAGTAAAACAAAATGAAAACTTTGAAAACCATTTTGATGTTGTTCACAGTCTACAGTAGGTCAGTGTGTGGTAGACTAAAACTTAAACTACACATCTGAAAAGAAGGGAAAAAAGATTTTTTGATCTTAAAAGCATTTCATCATTTTTATTTTTATTTTTTGCTGTGTTTAAAACGTACAGTTTAAAACTACATCTGGTTTTGATAATGATTGTCAAGTAATATAAAACAAATAACATACACTTCGTAAATAAATTAAAGAGGACTCACACTATTCTAGGCAACAGCATAGAAGGATGTATTCACAGTATATCTTTGTGACGGTGTACCATGTGAGTGATTATAATTTATCACTGAAAAAGGACATTGCAATGACTTTTTACATCATGACATTACCAGCTTTATATTTAATTCATATTCAAGGCAGATTTAGATCATATGGTTATTTTTATTTATTGAATAAGCCAGTTGATCTTATTGTAATTTTGTTAACAGGTAATGTCATTTCAATAAAAAATGCACTAAATACAGCTCAGTAACAATAATTATCTAAATAAACATTTCAATGTAAATTAATGTGGAATTGTGTCATCATGTTTAATTTCAGTTCTTAATATTTTGCATATACGCACCACATATTTACAGTCCTGTTGTTGTATTACTTCAAACGTACAAGGTGACACTGCTTTCCTTGTAATTCTATATTAAAGGTTCATGTCTGCGTCTGTCCTATTAACTTTTAAGGTGGAATGGCTGCAGCAGCAGGTGGTCTTGAAGCGAGTAAAGAGGACGTCCACAAGGAGTTATGTCCACAATACTGATCGGGTGACCAGGCATTCACCCAATTCACCAATTGATCCATCTAACCTCCACCAGAATGTAGATTTTAGTTGGCCTTTGTGGTACAACCTGTGGAACACAGTATGTAGTTTTTAGTTTGTTTTTGTTTCTAAAGCAAACCTAATTAAAAAAACATATATCTTTTTGCGACAGCAAGATAATATGCATGTTATTCTGCAACTCTTTGCATGACAGAGCTGCACTGAGAAGAATGGCTGCCAGTCTAGAATGAACATTGCAGCGGTCTGGAGGAGAGGCTACACAGGGAAGGGTGTGGTGGTTTCTGTCCTAGATGATGGCATTGAGAAAGAGCATCCAGATCTGAAGCCAAATTATGTAAGTGCCGTGGGACAGAAGGCTCTTTTTAGGAAGGGGACATTAATCATAAGCAATCTGGGTGAGCTTTAAGTGAAAGAGCAAGGAGCTGAGGCAGATATTGCAATCCGGAGCTTGAGGGCCAAAGGTTTGGAAAGGCAGGGTAAAAGTATTGGAATGGACATTAAATGTCTGATCCACTTAACTGTGCTGTTGACTGGTGAATAATGCTCTTTGTAATTTGTCTGATGAAATAGAGACAGATAGCTGCTGGCAGCTGTTGTGAGCTGCTTCTTACTATTCACTTGATTTAGGACCCACTTGCCAGCTTTGATGTCATCGAACAAGACCAAGATCCCTCTCCAAATTATTCCAACAATGCGGCTGACTTGTGAGTACATCTTGCTTCTAAGTTTTACTTTGCTTATGCTTTGCAGCTTCCCAATAATAACGGCAGAAATAATTAAAGCAAGTTTAGTCAGTTTTTCTGTATTTACATGCATGCATAGATATGAAGATTGTCACAGTCTGGAGATTTGCTTTGTCCCTGATTGATGTCATGGAAATACCTTTCCCTCATGCATATGCATCTAAACTCATGCTCTGATGTTCTCCCTCTTTCTCTGAAGCCATGGGACTCTGTGTGCTGGGACAGTGGCTGCATCCGCAAATAACCCTCTTTGCACAGTTGGAGTCTCATTTCGTGCTCGGATAGGAGGTAATTCCACATTAAGGCTTCAAAAGACTTTTCTAGAGGTAATGTTGTGGATTGAAGTATTCTTATTTGTCTCAATTTAACTTTTAGGCATACGTATGTTGGGAGGAGACGTGACTGATATTGTGGAAGCTCAATCATTGAATTTTAGTCCACAATATATTGATATATATTTAGCCAGCTGGGGGCCAAATGACGATGGGGCAACTTTAGAGGGACCTGGACATCTTGCTCGTCTCGCATTGCAGGCTGGAATTAAAATAGTGAGAGAAACAGTGTGAAATTGTATTCCTTTTAATAAAAAATGTATTTGTTTAATTCTATTAAAGGTGGTTTTCAAGTATTGGTTCCTTTCTCAAATTCATTACAGGGTCGGCAGGGAAGGGGCTCTATTTTTGTTTGGGCCTCAGGAAATGGAGGTCGAACAGGTGACCACTGCTCCTGTGATGGCTACAGTAGCAGTATATACACAATTTCAATCAGCAGTGTCAACCACCGTGGAATTCGATCAGAACACCTGGAACAATGCTCCTCCACACTGGCAGCAGCCTATAGTGGTGAGGAGACAGAGGAGATGGTGAGTTTTAAATTATTATTATTTTTTTGTTGTTGTTAAAACTCGGACACTGGCCCTTGGATATTAGGTGAATTTGATAAGGTACTGTAAGTATTATCCATCCATCTTCTGCCTCTTATCTGTCAGGATTACGGGCTGGTGCCTATTTCCAGCAGTCTATGGGTAAAAAGTGGGGCACACCCTGGATAGGTTGCATATCCAAAGCAAGGCAACCCATATATTGTAGACAAGTGGACATGCACACACAATCACACCTAAGGGCAATTTAGAGACAACTACCAAACAGTTATAATTTGGACTGTAGAGGAAGCCGAAGTACCCAAAGAGAAAACATGCATGTACATGAATGAAATGAAAACTCCATGAAGAGACCCGAGCTAGGCTTTAAGCCCAGGACCTTCTTGATGCAAAGCACCAGTGCTACAAACTCTGCCACTTTGCAGTGGTCTATGTATACTCTTCACATATTAAATTAGTATTGCAGGTGGGAAAAAAGGTACCCTTTTTTATAGCTAAGGATGACCATATTTTCATTTGGGAAAACCAGGACACCTTGGAGCGTGGGGGGGGCAGGGGGTGGGGGGGGGCGTGGTTGATTGAACAAATGTCTCATCATCGGGATTTGCTCTGTGATCAGAGGAAATGTTACTTGCCGCAGAACAGTGGTGAAAATTGGAAGTTCAGTTTAATATAATACAACTCTGTGAATAGTTCCGTCTGAAATTAATGAAAATAGTTGTTTTAATGAAATTGGGGTTTAATTTTTTTATTGCTGTTTTGCACAATATGCTTAACTAAGTATTTTTTGTTGTTGAATATTAGAGATTTTGCAGATATATTTGGTAGATACATTGTTTAGATTTACTTATATATTTCTAACCCTTTTGATAAAAGATCTCTAAGTGTTACCTATGTTCCCTGAAAGGTTAATATTTGCTAGCTGAATCAATCAGAAATGTGGTTGGGCTGCCTTAAAGGTATAGAGAGGGGTTTTGCAACTTTTTGAAAAGGCCCGCCCTATCCACTTAAAAAAAAAAAAATGCACATGCAGAACCCTGTACCCGCTCCGGAGAGGGAACGCCTATTTTCCCTGCATTAATCAGAAGATGGTTTTGCTGGCACCAGATCAAGAAGTTCTGGGTCCACTGTCTGTATTCTGAGTCGTCCCCAGCTGAGATGAGGCCAACTATAGCCTAATCATTGGAGAACTTCTGGAGTTGGCAGCATGGGGAGTTGATGGAGAACTCTGCAGTGTCGAGGGTGAAGATGAATGGTGCCAGCACTGTTCCCTGTGAGACCCCTCAACTGCTAACCAACCTATCTGAAACACAGCCTTGTGCCCTCACATACTGTGGGTGACCGGTGAGGTAGTCCAGAATCCACTTGGACATGTGCTTTTCCACTCCTCAAAGCTCCTGCTTGTCCCTTAGGATTCCTGGCTGGATGGTGTTAAAAGCACTGGAGAAATCAAAGAATATGATTCTCACAGTGCTTCCAGGTTTCTCTAGGTGAGTCAGAGCTTGGTGCAGGAGGCAGATGATCCAAGGATGGTAGGCAAACTGCAGTGGATCCAATGAAGTCTTCACCAGTGGTCTGAGATTATGTAAAACCCACTGTCATCAGGTGTCAGCCTCAATGCTACCGGGCCTGTACAGCTGTGGTATTTCTTCTAGCCTCCGGCTTAAGTGGAACATGTAACGGAAGATGCTACATGTTCAACTTCAAGCATTTTAAGGTTGTTCACTTCAAGCATTTTAAGGTCAGTGTTTTTGTATGTTAAAATTAAATATATTTAAGCACAACAAACAGATCACAATTACATTGTAAAAGCTCACAGTGAAACACCTAAAAGTAGATACATTTTTCTGCCAAAGTCTAGCTTTGCTGCTGAACCATAGGACCTCGACTTTGTCTATGCCTGGAGCTGGCTCCAAAAGGAGGCCAACAGAGCCAGATGTGCACAGACAACTCTGCATAATCTTTAGGTTATGTTTAAAGCAGATAGAGTGCACATCAGACATACAGACTGTACCTTCTGTGGGAATGTACAAGCCTCTTTATAAAAAAGTTTTTCCTAAAGAACTCTAAAGCTGCTACTTATTCACAGTGATCTTATAGTGCAGCTCTAAAATTAATTTCATTGTAATTATAATTAGTTCCTCAGTGCAAGACTTCATATACAGCCTAAATAAGCTCTAAATGCTTGGAAAAGTTCATGGCACTTAACAAATCATTAAATCACACTTTGCTCATCCCCCTGATAACAGAAGCCCAAAATTTAATTTAGTATTTTAAGCAAATGAAGTATATAATCTATTTCTAAATTAACTGTGAAGGTCATTAGAAGAGATGCAATGCCACATTTGACCACAACATTTAATTAAATGTTACATTTGATGGTATAACCAATTGAGACTTAAATGTTGTACAGTAAGCCATATCAGCTGTGTAATGAATTATTTCCCGAATCTCTTTTTAATAAGCAATGCTTCTTTTAAAGAAATAAACTATTATGGAAGTTCTGAGAGGCTATATGCATGAAGTTACTTCAGCATCTATAGTTAACTTGGATTCTTTGAGTTAATATTTGGTTTCATTAAAGGTGTGGTTCATAACTGCTCTTCAACAAGAATAGAGAAACAGGAGTTTTAAAATCAAATGCTTTAGATTTTACCCCAACTCCTCCTTGATTTCTTGAAGCAGCTGTTAGTAATGCCTATGTACACACATGTATGCATAAGGCAAGCAGATTGTAAGGAGATCATAGTTGGATTGGTCTGTAAAATAATACTTTGAAGTCTATATTAATTAATTAGCCTATATTACTTTATTGACAATATAAGATGAATCACCTTTCATTGGCCTTCCTCCTCTTTCATTGTTAACCCTTTAAAGCCTGATCCAAGAATAAAACAAAACAGAAAATTACTTTTTTTTTTTTTGAATTCCTTATTTGCCCTTTTAACAAAATATGTAAAAAGAAAAAACAGAAATACATTTTTGATATTAATAATTTATTACTATGCGATAAGTCAAGATTATGTTTTGTGTAGTCTTCTACAGGCTGTTATCAGGTATATCTGATTGTGTACGATAGGATTTTGAGCAAAGTACATTTGGCATTATAGGGTTAATGTTTAAACTATAACATCCAAATGTGCTCCAGAGGAAACTTAAGGACTAAAGTAAAGAAAACACTCATAAAAATAAACGCATTCCATCCGTCCGTCCATCCATCCATCCATCAATCTATTCCAAGCGTGGGTACTCAAGTCCTCAAGGGTCAGTCTCCTGCACCTAACATTTATCCATGGTTCAGCAAACCTAAATTAAATGGCTGAATTAACTCCTTGGTATCTAGTCAATTTGTGTCTTGCAAATCATCTAATTGATAGATTCAGGTGGAGTGAATGCTACAGGATAGGCCTTGTGGATGGGAGTTGCCCAAACCTTATTTAGACACTTTAGTGAGCTATTTTCATGCGCCAGGGTGCCCTTTAATTAAAAAAGCAAGGTAAATCATTCATCAGTAGTTGTTTTTCTTCTGTTCATGATCTGACCGTCTTCTTTTGTGGTGTGCTTTTCGTGCCACTCTTTGAGATTATTTTCTGTGTCAGTGCATACAGCCAACAGTCACAAAAGTCTAGGGGTGGGGAATTTAGCTACATAAGCAATCGGCAAAACTAATAATTGGGTACAGATAAAGACAGACACATCACCCAGGCTTTGCTATGAACCAGATGACAGTGCTGACAAGGCATACATTTGGCATTAGGGAAGGTGAGCTTTACCAAGGACAATGAGATTGAGAGTCTAAAATGAATAATTGTTCATATTAATAAAAAAATACTCAACTTTGGAAGTAGTTATACAGGGTGTGTTGGTACATTGTTAGGACATCAGCTTTTGCTTTGTCTGACACTAGTTGTGTTTATTTTAAAGGTTTGCTGACAGAAAATAGGATTGCGAGACGGGTAAAAAACTTGTGGCAAAGGTCAATGGGACAGGATTCCAACCCTTGACAATCACATCAAGGACAGAGGCCTTTGTACATGAATCACATGTTGTACCCCTCTGCCACTGCCCAGATATTAAATTGAAGGCACAAGACAGCTTCCTCTTGTCATTAATTCACTAAATACAGTCTCAAGTACTGTAAACAGTGTTTGGTGTTGACAGATAACCCTTGGACCACAGCTGGGATGCAGCATAACTCTGTCTGGAACATCTCTCTCCTCATCTATGGCTACTGGGGTGATTGCTCTTACTTTGGAGGCCAAGTGAGTAGCTGTTTACTGCACAACATCTGAATATCCAGGACCACAGAATCTAAATCAAGAGATATAATAGACAAAAAAAAAAACACTTTTATTTCCCACTGTCTGACCTTTTTTAAAGCCCTGATTTGACCTGGAGGGATGTCCAGCACATTATCGTTCGAACATCAAAAGCTAATCACCTTGATGCTGCTGACTGGCATTATAACGGAGCCGGGTTCAAAGGTAACATCATATCTCTGTTAAATTTAACAGTAGTTTTTGTCCAAATAGGTAGTTTTATTAATAATAAAAAAAATACATGATGTCCTTTGCACAACCCTAAAATACTAAAGTAAAAGATAAGCTGATTCTGATGTTTCAGTGAATATTCTCTTAGTTTGGTTTTTTGTAGGGAGCCATAAAGCAGTGAGCATTTTGAAAACTAACGAGGTACAGTGAGCAGAACAGCAATAAACGCCTACGGAGTCTCGGGGGGACATGAAATCTTTTAGAAGCATCTGTGCCCTCCCTACCCCAGCTAATGTATTGTGTGTTTGAATGTGTATGCTTGTCTGTTAGTGAGCCACCTTTACGGCTTTGGCCTGCTGGATGCTGAGAGCATGGTGAAGGAGGCTGAGCACTGGAAACAAGTCCCAGCACAGCATGAGTGTGTGGAGGAGGAGGCCATCCAGCTGAGCAGGTAACACACCAGCAACTCTGCAAGAGCTTTTTGTTCTGAGTCAGGGCTTCCCCTGATTTCTTCTCATCTATCACACTTCATCTATTTCTGTCTCAGTTCGCATGCTGATTCTCACGCACTTTAATAAGCATTCATTTTCTGTTGTGCTGTGCTCTTCTAATTCTTGCTGGTGCTTCTTGCTCTCCACCTCCTCTCTCATCTCTAGTGCTTACTGTGTTCCGTTATGTTTTTATCCCCCTCCTGTCTGTCTCGTACAGAATTATTCATCCTGGCTCAGTGTTGACGTCTGCGTACGAGACCACCGGCTGCTCCAGCGAGGGCCCACGGCACGTTGTTTATGTGGAGCACGTTGTCGTTCGCATAACCATCATTCACAGCCATCGTGGCGACCTTTCCATCACGCTCATGTCACCTGCGGGCACCGTATCGCAGTTGCTGGCTCACAGGTAACAAGAGGATTGTTCCATCCGAACTACTGTGGTACCCCCCCAAAGCCCTATCTACAACTGATGGGGGTATTTCTGTGTGAAAAGCAATTTTTTCTCTAGCTCAGCATTCACTGCTTAAAGCAAGTCTTCAGTTTGGCAACAATGAGGAAACGTCAATTTTGCAAACTCTCTTTGGAGAGAAAAAGTAGTAATGCTTATTATTCCAAGGAATCAATTTTTTTTTTTGTAGGTTCTTTGAAAGATTAATCCCACACAAGTCTCATATGTATAGTTTCTTCTTTTTAAGGGTAAGAATGCATCATTAAGAAGACAACAAATACTTGAGACAATGCTAGGATATAATACTGAAAAAAGTTATGTATGAAACAGTTTTATCTATTATCTTATTTTTTCCTCCAATACATGTGAACTAAAATTATGTTTTTTTAGCTAAACACCTCAAGAAAAACAAGAATTATGGTTGTTGACATCACAACAGGCAGATAGTGAGATAATCTGCTGGCACTGATGGACAAAATACTTTTTTCACAGATTTTTAAATAGCATTCAAGTTTATTTTGAGTTGTTATAGGGATAAAATGGAATTGTGGAGCCAGAACTTGACAACCAAGAGCCCTGTAGAAAAAGTGACACTGCCAAGGATCATAATGTTGAAGCGAGTGGTGACAAGAACAATAATTAAATTTAGAATTTTATATTTCCAAAATCTAATATCCAAGTTGGAACATTTTCTATCTTAATGTGTTTTACTACCAATGCGTAACTTGATTATTTTAAAAAATGTTTATTCTGCTTGCAATCTCCTAAATTGGTAAGTGATGAGCCAGCAAAGTGGCTCACTGCAGTTTGAACTCATACTACTTTAGCTGACTCAAAAGGTTTGCTTGTTCTGATTGCTGCTGAGTGATGGTTTTTGTTTTCTTACTTCCTCTCTCTCGTGTTCACTGCATTAATGGTGACTGACTTTAATGCAAGGTGCATGGTCACAGTCAAAGGCCTTTCTAAACAAAAATATTTTAATCTTGATTTAAAGCAATTTAGATTTTCAGTACTTTTACAGTTTATTCCACATTTTCTTCCAGATTGTTGACCATAAGACATAAAAGCTGCCTCTCCATATCTGGTTTTAGTTCTGGATATTCAGAGAAGATTTGAGCGAGAAGACCTGAGAGGTCTGAGTAGTTGATACATTGACAACAAGTCTGTAATGTATTTTGGTGCTAAGCCATTCATTTATTTATAAAGAAGTGTTTGAAAGTGGATTTTCTGATATATGGGGAATCAGTGACTGTGGTGATCCATTCTACTTTCTTAGTTTTAGGAGAACCTTTTGAAGCAGCATCCAAGATCAACTACAGCTGTTTGATCAACTTTTTGGGGAAACCTGTGAAGTTGCAGTAATCAATTTTGCTAAAGATAAACAAATGAATCATTTTTCAAGGTCTGGTGAGACATATTCTTTAATTTTCGAGATGTTCTAGAGGTGATGGATGGCTGATGAGTCCATCACTACACCAAGAATTTAAGCCTGATCTAATTGTGTAAACTGAAGCTCACTTTTGCTAACTTTTAAACACTCATTTCTGCCCCAAAAATTATTACTTTAGTTTTGTTTTCAGCTAAAGAAAATTTTGGAACATCTTTGCAAGGATTTCTTCTATGTATTTACAGTAGGAGCCATTCAAAATGGCCCTACCCAGTCAAATGCCACCCAAATGGGAGCCAACTTCCAGCCACTGGAGTGAACCCCCCTCCTCCTGTGCGTGCATATTTTTAAAATCTGACTCCCCCTTTTCACGGAATTACAGGGTCTGACCGAGAGAAGGCCCTTCTTTTTAGATCTTAATGTCCACAAATTATGACAGAAAGAATATTATAGTACACATATTGATGTTTAAAAAAAGGAATCTTAGGTAACCAGCCAAGGGTCCATCAAGGAAAGTGGGGAAATTACGAATGGCTACTACTGTACTATACCCAGGAGAACACAAAGAAAGAAATTAAAGGAAAACACTCAGGCCACTGTTACCTGATTAATATCAACCAATTAAAGTTTAAATTAACATTCAAATGATCCAGATTTGTAAAGTTGATTGCAGTAAGATCATCATAAGTAAGGTAAAAATTATTCCAAAAACCAAGCCTGGAAACAATACTTCCTCAAATTCAAGATGTCACAAAAACATTCTACCTGACATCAGAATGACATCAACACCATCTCTACCAAGGCTGTGGAAAATGTTTTTGCTGTGGAGATTAGGAAAGAAACTACACAGTCTATGGAGCCAACCAGCAAGGTCCCACCAAGGCTTCATTGGACTTAAGACTGTTGGACTCAAATTATCCCCTAGTCATCACCTCAGCAATCTTACATTATCCTTCTTCACCATCTTAATTCTGATGCTGAGTTTAACTACCCTGTTGACCTTTATTTTTCATACCAAAAATATAATCTTGAAAAACTATGCATTATTCAATGGCATTATAATACTACTTTAGGCATGTCTAAGCTCGGTCCTCAAGGACCGCTGTCCTGCAAGTTTTAAGTTTCCCTGCTTCAGCAAAGCTGATTTCTATTGACAGCTGTTTAACAAACTTTTTCTGAATCTCCTGTGCTGAAGCCAAGAAACAATGTCAGCCTCACTGACAGAAGTGAGTCTGCTGTGACAGACGCCACCTGTGAACTCTGACCATCATCAGCAGGCAATGCAGATGTCTTTTCCAAGGTCACAATGACAATGAAAGCCGGAGATGGGGCTTAAACCAACAAACCTTCAGTTGCAGGGCAAACTACTGCATCCATCCCCCTCCCAGCACTGTGGTTGTTCCACAGTCTGCATTTATACAGATGTCATCGAACACCTTGACGAGCGCAGAGTCTGTACTGCGCTGAGCAGTTAATTCTAATTGCAAAAATGTCAAAGCAGTTGGTCACTTTTAGGAAGTTGGTTACCTGCTGGAAAACAGCTTTTTCAATAATTTTAGAAAGATATTAGAGCAAAAGCCTTAGCTCCATGACTACAAAAGAGCCTGAGGCCATAAAGCTTTACCTTCTTCCAGGTCACATGACCTGTTCAACGACGGTGCGTCTTCTCCCAACTTACATTGTTGGTATTTCAAGAGGGGAGCCCCACCTGTAGCATTGATGGACTTAGACTTACTTAGACTTAGATAAACTTTTGTACACACACAGTCATTTTGTACACACAGAGTGTATACAAAATGAAATTTTGTTCATTACACGCCTCAAGGCATTTCCATTTCTAAAGTGCAGAAGTGCTAAAATGTAAAGCTGGTGGTCAAATGTAAACCTAAGACTGAGATATGATTTGAAGCAGGAGTAACCAGCTAAAACCAAGTGGGGTCGGAATAAAGAAAATCAACAACCAGTAAAGGTCCGCAGACATTTTCAATTATAATCTGTTACTCACAGCCTTTAACACGGAAGTAAAATGACGTTTTTATGCATCTATGTTATGCAATGAATTTTTAAAATGAAAAGTGTTTTTTTTTTTAAGTAGAGAACAACAGTCGTTCAATTTGGTATGTAGACAAATTCCTGATTCACATAAAAAAAAACAGAACTTACCGTTTTTTGTGTTTATTTCTTTTTTATGGCTTATTGACAGAAGTGGGCTTTACGCTGCCCTGCAAGGTTTTTAAAACTGGGTTTGAATGGTGACAAAGCCATTGTCAAGCACATATCAAGGTGTTCATTCATGAGCCTGATTCGATATTCATTTCAGATTATGGTCATGGTGGAGAATCCTGCTTCACAGCAGTAGGTTGAGCCAAACATACTCAAAATTTACAGGCTCATCTTTGGCAACACCATTTCACTTTTCTGTCACCAGTTCACTGCAGTTATTCCAGCAGTCCACACTTTCTCTGCTCTTTTTCTCTCTTTGTCTTTGTCTATCCCACCAACCGGCTTCCCAGGGGTTTGCCTGTTGTGTCTAAAAGAGGCTAGCAGCAGGTTAACACAGCTCATTGGCAAACTTGTATCATGTGTCGATTTTTTCTAGATACTCCAAAGGGCTTTAACATATTAACAGGAGAAGCTGCGCAGTTAGGCACTGTCGTCGGACAACATGCATCAATTTATACATTTTTAAAATCAGGTTGGGTCCGGATTAGCCAGCAGGTGGGTCCGGATCCGGACAGTGGTCTGCTAATCCATGATCTCTGATTTACAGTTTTTCCAACATTCAGTGCTTTTTTTTTTTATTTTTTTTTTTTTTTTTCGTTTTAATCAACATTCAGCATTCTAATGGCAGTGGGAAAGAAGCTGTTTCGGAATCTGCTGGACCTGCATTGGATGCTTCAAAGCCTCTTCCTAGAAGGCAGCAGGGAGAACAGTCCATGGTGGGGGTGTTAGGGGTCATTAATAATGCTCATCATGTAGTGTCAAGCTCTCTACATTAGCCCTAGGAATCATTTAAATTGCATAAGGTATTTTAGTTTGCGGTATGCCCTTAAAAATAATTTCACCATGATCCAGCACCATTTCCTTCTCAATGGGAATAAGTATTCCCTGTTCAAAATGTACATGCTCCCAGCATACAAATTGGTAAATATTTGTATTCAAATGTGCAAAACACATTGGTAATTTAAAGTTTACATAGGATTGCAGATTTCCCCATAATTTTATATGTTTTGTGCTATTGTTTGAGAAGCTAAATCGAGTTAGGTTTTACTGTAGGAATGATAAGCTCAGACTTGTGAAAAACCTTGAGTTAAGTTTTCCTTGGGTAAAATAAAACACTTAAATTCAATTATATTACTGTTAATTTAAAACAGTTAAAAACTTTGTAAAGTTCTAAAACTATTGATATCTCTTTGGTTATGTTTGCATTTTTCTGTAACAAAAAGGATCTCTACTGTATGCTTACTTGACAAATATGAACCTGTTTTTCCATTTAAAAAGTACACAGTCAACACAGACCTGTACTGTATATACTACATTTTTCAAAAATAAGAACAAAACTTTTTATATTACAGGACAGTATTTGTTGTTTCATACAAGAGAATCTAGTCTATAATCTATTAATCACACATTGTTGCTTTTAAGACATTTTAATTAGTGTTGATACAGCAGTAACTGTATGCTCATGATTATGTAATATTTTGCTTTAGGCCTCTTGATAACTCCACTGAGGGATTTCAGAATTGGGAATTCATGACAACTCATTCCTGGGGGGAGCAGGCAGCAGGGGAATGGACTTTGAAAATCAAGGATACTCCTTCACAGGACCGAGACAGCGCTGAATTAGGTTTGTTCTTTCTCTTTGTAGCATCTTTTCATTGTAAGACCTATTTACCCTGATCATCAAGAGGAGGCAGCAGAAACACGGCGCCAGCCTCAGGGGAGAAACATGTTTTTCTTTCTCTCTGTTGTTTTACAGCGATGCTAAAGAAGTGGTCTCTGGTGATTTATGGCACTGCAGAACAGCCGTATCCATTGCACCATCGGCTAGCCCGATCAGCTGAGCTCCTAATGAATACTGATCTCACTGAAGGATATGATGGTGAGTCACTTCCTTACTGAGAGTTCTTGACAGCAACATTTTGTTATCAATCACATTGTTTCTAATTTGTATTGCAGAAAGGTTATTTTGAAAAACGAACATAATTAAACCATCCTAAAGGTTTAGATTTTAAGAGTATTTCGTCTTTTAGGACCTTGTGACCCAGAATGCAGTGGTGATGGTTGTGACGGGCCTGGCCCACAGGAGTGTGTTACGTGTCTAAACTTTTTTCTCAAGTTCAAGAACAGCTCAAGGTTAGTATGATTGCATAATGCTGGGTACAGTGAGTAGATGCAGACAGCATGTGCTTCTTTGACCCATATTAACTCACTTTTTATATAACAAGCCTTTACATTCACTCTGTATAGTTTTGAGTCTAACATTATATTCTAATCTTGTGCTTCCAAGAACCCAGGTGTTACTCTATGTTTCTTACAGTGAGTTTAAGGTTGTCTTTAAGACCTTTCTCATTCATTCCTGCAAGTGCTTCAAGTATTCTTTAAATGTATTTTACAGCCACTTTGACTTACTGTATAAACTATCCAGGTGTGAAAAATAGTCCCAAGTTCTTGTGTGCACACAATGAACACACTTGAAAATTAAGTTCTGGACTCACATTTTGCTACCTCCAGAAAAAAAAAACACTGTATTTTCTAATTTTTTATAAAAATGTAAACGTTTTTTGAAAGAAGTAAACCTATATTAGCACCTGAATCACACTGGAGGTGGTTTAAAGTTAAGGTGAAAGGTCTGAGGAGATATAAATTACATTCGAAGAGACATTATATGTTTCTGTTAAAAAGTATCTTTAAGTATGCCTTTTTATTTGACACTTTATTACTAAAATGTGATTTGCTCATCGGACAGAAACCTTAGTAGTTCAAAGCCGATGCATCTATAACCCTTCAGCCTTTTTTCAGTAATTTACTTTGGCCTAAATTCCAAACACTCTTCTGCAGATGTAATGTCAAGCATGTACATTTTAAATGTATTTGACCTAACAAACAATTAAAGTATTATATTGAAGATGGATTTTTTTTTGGGTCCTTAGAAGCTCAACTCAGACACCAATGGCAACTCCAGGTAAAAAAAAAAATTTAGCTGAAACTGATGATCAAGATCCTTTTGCTCATATAGTTTTTCTCCCTATATAAAGAAGAAATAAAAAAAACTTATTGTTAGGGTATTGCAATTTTACTAAAGTCACAGTGGTTTACAGAGGTTTCTTCAGTTGTTGAATTGAATACCCTAAAAACAACTTAATTTGGATGTTAATTTGGCTTTGGAAGAAAGGAGTTGTGAAAATTTCTTATGGCATGCAATAACCGAGAAATATAATTACCGCTTCGAGTAAAAATCTGTAGCTCAGATTAATCACAAAGAAAACTACAAAAATAGAGATATGTAACTTTCTAGGATTTAAACATTGCACAATGTTACATTTACAAAGTGATGTCCCTGGAAAAATTGTGAATACTTTTAACAGCTAATATTGAACTGTAATGTATTTCCTCCTGTGAATCATCTTGTCTCTTCTGCTTTGTTTTACGTTTCTCTCTCAGGTTGTGTGTACCCAAGTGTCCCCAGGGATTCTGGGGTGACCGTCGACGCTGTAAGAGGTGCTATTCTACTTGTGCAAGTTGCACTGGCAGTCGAAGCAATCAGTGCACCTCCTGTGTGTCTGGTCATCACCTGACAGAAGGCACCAATACCTGCACAGCATCCTGTGGCGAGAATTACTACTTGGATCATGGTTAGAAGTTTGACTTGTTCTTTAACATTTGTTCTATTATTATTATTATTGTCCTGAGCTGAATATGTCTAAGGCATCTTAATGATTTCACCTTTCTGGATTCATTGCACATTCAGTCAAAATAAAGGCTTCTAATGAGTAGTCAGGAGCTGTATCTGCAGCTTAGAGGTATGTGAGTAGGATTGATTTCTGGTTCTGATGTCTATTATTTCTGTTTTCCCCACAGATACATATCTGTGCAAGAAATGCAGCGAAAGCTGCTTGAAGTGCACCTCATACAGCATCTGCACAGAATGCAAACCAGGCACAAGGTGAAGCAAATTCTCTGATGATGCTTGAATTAGGTGCTTGGTAAACACAGCTCAAGCCGATGAGAATACTGATGTTCCCTGTGTAAACGCTCCAGGCAGAATCTAAGTAATTAGAAAAGAAATCTGCAGTACTTTATAATTGCCACCATCCTGATTCACTCAGAACTGGGAGTAAATTAATCATAATTTTGAATAATTAATAATAGAAAGAATGCAATTGCCTGAAAAATTTACCATAATCTGTAGTTAGAAGTTGTCAGAATGCAGAGTTCACTGACTCAGTTTGGTGAGAGCTTGTGGTGGTGAGCCGTGGGTTGGAGAAGTGAGCCTGTGAACATGAAGGCAGTGAATCATCTTTTGTGGCGTCACATGACTGACTGAGTGTGTCACGGTGCCACATGCTCTCTCCACCCTCTTCAGTCTGCAGGGGAACCGGTGCCAACGGAACTGTGATGATGGCTTCTACTATGACATGAAGGAAGATGAATGCATGCCCTGTCACAAGGCCTGCGCTACCTGTGCAGGTAAGAGAGTTGTCAAGACTTATGAGCATAATAATCAGCTTTAAATTCATCATTCTTAAAATGATTTGCATCTTAGCCAATATAAAAGTTTTTTGGTTTTTTTTGTTGTAAAATCAGGGGCAGGTGTTGAGGCGTGCAACCGTTGTGCAAAGGGTTTCTTGATGGAAGAGTGGAGATGTGTTTCCTCTTGCAGTGCTGGCTTCTATGCCATACAGCCAAGCCCAGAGATAGTGGACGGCTACAGGATATGTAGGAGGTGAGCTTACTGGTGTGTGTTCAGGTGTGGGTGGTTTGTTTATTGGCTGATGGCAGGCCTTAATCTGGTGGTTGGCCTGCTTGCTTTGGCACTCAGAGATTGTTGTTGTTGTGTGCCTGTATTAAGTGTGGGAAAGCTTTTTTTTCTCCTGCATTGTGTTGAATTTCTCTCTGCTCTCCTCAGGTGTGACTCCAGCTGTCTCACCTGTATGGGGCCTGGATGGCAGAACTGCAGCAGCTGTTCAAGCGGTCATCGCCTCCAGGAAGGAGTGTGTGTAGTCAACACTGAGTGCACAGATGGTCAGTCTCCCACCCTTTCTCTAATTCATGTTGGCCCATTGCTCCTGGAAAAACAGAATAAAACCCCCTTTTTTGTTGGTATTTCTTAATATTTTTATTGAAAAATAATGTAATTATTTTAACACGTTCACTAACACCACAAATAGTATAAAGTTGGTGTCAGAGTCTTAAATAATTGTTTATATGTGGAGCCATTTGTTTCATGTGCCTCACTTTGTTGTGAATTTGACATTAAGCCTTCATGTATGCCTCAGACATTTATTCATCTCTGAGTCAGCATGCTTCTGTTGCTGTCTGTCAGGAGAGTATCAGGACAGTGATGGGGTGTGTCGCGCATGTGATGCAACGTGTCTGAAATGCACAGGGCCGCAAAAAGAGGACTGCATCAGCTGTGTCTCTTCACTGTGAGTTACCACACTGGATTTTTATAGATTCATACTCAAAGGGAAAAATGAATTCATATTCTTGAGAATACATTTCTTTTAGACCACAAGTGTCATGGTCTGATGGTATTCAAATATTTAAGGATAATTCTTCATTGCTTTTTAAATCAGGCATCGTAGAGGGTAAAATAACATGCACTATGATTATCTAAATATTGATGCCTTTTCCAGATGATCTAATGAAAAACACTGAAAATTATAACTATTGCACACATACACCAGCTGCCCCTGGCATCCCGGGTTCAAAAAAACATTAACAATGCATATTTTATTCAAGTAACATTATCTGTCATTGGGCAGCCAGAAGGTGCCGGTTTGAAGTCCCAGCCTGGGCTCTTTCTGTTGGGTATTTGCAAGCTCCCCTCATTCAAGCGTGGATTCTTTGTAGGAACTCTGGTTTCCTGCTGCAGTCCAAACTAAAAACTATGAAGTTAACTGGTTACTGTATTGCACTTAGATATGCGAGTGTGCTGCATAGCTGTTTGCACTGTTTTCAAGTGACAGGCAATCTGTTTGTCCGACAAGTAACTCCTTCCCCTTCCCAATGAACACAGGTGATAGGAACCTGTCTTCCCCTGCCCCATGTTGGGGTAAACTGGGATAGGAAATGAATAAACAGATAATCTCACAAATGTATGTTTTATTTTTCAAATTTCTTCTGATGGGAAAGCTAATCAAGAAAGCAAATATTTTCAGTAACACATCTAATGCCATAAACAATCATTTTGAACATATTAACAGGAAAACTTCAATTAATTCCAATGAAGTAAAAATTGATCAGTAAAGTCAAAAGAATTACAAAGATCAGCTTAAGTATTTAAAAAGAGTTTTTACAAAAAAAAGTAACAAAAACCTTGTAAGACTGATAAAGAGGTCACAGTTATAAAAGTATACCATACAGTCAGTTTTTCTTTAATTTGTTTCACTTATCTTCCTCTGGTAATAAAAAAAAAAACAGGATAATTAAAATCCAGTATATCAGATCAAACATCAGCAGATAATTAAATAGATATAAATAATGTGGTAATGGCAAGGTTATAAATGCTGTGATGACTTAATTGGTATGATAATTGGCATGACTTGATGGCCAATATTTGCTTTATAAAGACATAACAACATGAAATAATTCAGATTTAACCAGTGTAGACTGAAATTACAGCTAATTTTAATGAAATTGTTGTCTTGTGGCAATCATGTTGTTGCTAGAGCACTCTGAAGGGAAAACAGATCTAATCAACATTATTGGATACCAGCAGGTTTCTTCCATTTCAAATAATAAGCTCATGTTACCTTTCATTTTAACTGCTTTGCTTATGCTTCTTTATCCCTCCTCATTCCTGGCTGTCTCAGTTACATCTGTTTAAATCTGCCATATGGTGCATGCTGGGATGTAGATGAGCTCATCTCATTAACAAAGACATAATTTATAAGTGTTGGTTTGTTTTTGGCTTTGATGTTTTGTTCTGTTTCTCTTCGCTGACTGCAGAGCTTTAGATGAGGGGCGCTGTGTGGTTGAATGTGCTAAGGGCAAATACCGATCGGGTGGACAGTGCCACCTCTGTGACCACACCTGTGCCACATGTATGGATGCAGGGCCTGCCAATTGTACCAGCTGTGACACAGGTAGGAGACGACACAAGAAGATCATTCCTTGTGTCAGCGTGTGTACAGAACAGATGGATGACAAATAAAGGGGGAAAAAATCCCCTGCCCCCTGTGTAGTGTTTGTTTAAATTTTTGCTGGCACAGGTTTAGTTCTTTCCTCAGGGGAAAGGGTCGCTGCTAATTAATACGTAGTTTTTCCCGATTTATCCTACGCTTCTTATGAAAACTGTAAGACTGGTAAAGAAGTCTGTGCATCTGGTGTTGGTGAAGTACAACCAGAAAAAAACAAAAAAGTGGTAAATTGAATCATTTCTGATCATCAGTACTAAAATACCAGAGATGGCAAAAGTACTCACTTTCCGTACTTGAGTAAAAGTACAGATACTTGTGTTAAAAATACTCTGGTAAAAGTGGAAGTACTGATTAAACTTCTTTACTCAAGTAAAAGTAACAAAGTACAGGCTTGTAAATTTACTTAAAGTATAAAAGTAAAAGTAGAAATCACTTTTTTCATGCCGTTGCCTACATTTTAAATGGATGTCTGCCAATAGGACTAGATCTCCGTTGTGTTCATTTTCAATCATCTCGTCGTCCATACTACTATGCTAACACCACCGCCACCAAGCTGCAATGATTTGCCGCGAATGAATACCGCCGAATCTGTCGATTCATCTTGTAGTGGTGCGTCAAATGCAACGTAGATTCCCATCCAATTAGATTGAATTTGGTATTGATGACGTGAAAAATAATAACGGTAACTCCATTGAAATGATTCAAAACTAAAGTAACGAGCCAATTTTTTAAAATGTAAGGAGTAGAAAGTACAGATATTTGTGTAAAAATGTAAGGAGTAGAAGTAAAAAGTCGCCATAAAAATAAGTAGTAAAGTAAAAATATCAGAAAAATCTACTTGAGTACAGTAACGAAGTATTTGTACTTCGTTACTTCCCATCTCTGTAAAATACTAATGGAAATCTGCACAAAAATAGGGTTTTCATGTTATTTAAGAGGTTTCTCACATGTTATGACCCATTTTTCTTTCAACAAATAATTACTTAAGATCTTCAAAAATGTATTCTAATTTTCAAATCTGAATGGTGGACCTAAACGGGTTATACTTGCACTCAATTTCTAAATATAGGTAGCAGTCTCCATTAAAACTTCTAACTGGAACTCTTACTGATGCTTTCTACAGCCCAGCAATCAATCATGTGATGAAATATTAGCAAATTAAGCTTTTAAAGAACAAAAAAAAAAAACGTCAAAGTCAAATCTTCCTCCATGCCATAATTTTCTCTGTAAAGAAGCACCAAAGACTGGAGAGGAATAAAACAAATTGAAAATATTCTGGACAGCACTGTTGACTTCCAACTTTGCTGGCAGGACAAGCAGATCCCACTTTTGGATCATCTTGCTCGTTCCAGTGAAATAAATCCCCAGAACATTTGAAGTGGATGCAGAAGGTTTCCAAAAACAGACATTAGTTCCAGGCTGTAGATGTCATTATGAAGTCATCGTCTCAACATGGAGCAGGGCTACCGCCAGCCAAATAAATATACTCGCATCAAGGACGTTTGGAGAGGTTTTGAAGTGAATAATAAGGTCGGTGGAGCAAAACTCTCCTGTCGGATACTTTTTAGTTCTCTTTTGGGGCAAATTGTTTTAACTCTTTATTTAATGGAAGAGTCAAATTCAAAAATAATAGTAATATGCTTACTGTTTTGTCTCTTAATCCTGTTTCTTTTGTTGTAGATTTTGAAGTGAGACAACCTGATGACATTCATCAACATAAAATATGAATACCTGTAATTTCTTTCAACTTATTGATTCTCTTTTAATTGTAGTTTCATTTGGTTTTTAGCAAATGCATTTTGCTTATTTTTTTATAAGCTCTGTTTCATACCTGTTGTCTGCACTCAAAAGAAGACAATAAATCCTTATAGTGTTTTATCCACATATCTTTAAGATTGGAAATACAGAGAAATGAAAACTATATTCTTACAACCAGACCTTTATTCTCAGCTTATTTTATTTTCTAAATTGTAGACTTCAAAATCCATTTTACTTTTGGTCAACCAGCCTATGTGCAATACGTGTTTCTTCACAGCCAGGAGCCAGAGCATACCAATCTCTGTGTGCAGGCAGAGATCATGGCATTGTTAGCTTTTGGCACAGAGAGCATCGCTTGGCTGTTTATTTCTCTTGGTGAGCTCCGTTTGGCTGCAGCTTTAGCAGTTGTAGGATGCAAGGTACAGCACCAGAAGAATTATACTAAATTACTAAGAATACTGCCAGCCTGGTGAAGAAAAAAATAGACATTACCCTGGCATTGGGCCAGTTACCCTTTATGTTGTCTGATTACCTACTGTATACAAGCTGCTGCTGCCCTGATAATAAACTATCATGATGTCTTCACAAAAATTTTGTTTGCTCTTAATGCACCTAAGTAAACATCTTTAAGACCCTGCAGGGATTTTTTTATGTTCCAGCTGTATGTTCAAGTATTGCAATGTTAGGCACTTCAGTGGAGGTACCAGGGGTTTTGTTTTTTTTTGCAACTAGTATTCTGCTAGAAAGCTAAAGAAAGCATGTAGAACTATTTTGCTTGAATATTTTTTACTTCTTCCCCTTTTCTAAGTAATTCTTTGGTAATTTATTCATTATCATTCAAAATGAATAATGTTGAGATGTACCCTAACAAACACCTAAAGTTTTCAGATCCATCTCATAATTTTTCCATTTTTTGTGGGGTTTTTTATCAGATAAGTTTGGACATGAACGTTACCTCTATCAAGGCCTTTGTATGGACGCCTGCCCTGAGGCGTTTTACCACACAAGCAAGAGAACCTGTGAGCGATGTTCAGAAAACTGCCAGCTCTGCTCCAGCCCAAACCACTGCCTGCAGTGTAACTCCACCTACTATGTGTCTGACGGACAGTGTGTGAAGCTGGAATGTGGAGAAGGTAAAAAGGTCACAGCATTATTTATGAGGCAGATTTCTGGTCGTCTCATGTGTGACCCTGGATCATCTAGTGTCCACCCTCAGCTTTTTCTAAAACATTCTGCTCTAATTGTTTTCCCCCTTCCTATCACTTCTCCTGCTATCTGTGCTCTCAGGGGAGGTGGAGGATCCAGATTACAATGACTGCATGACCTGTGAGGAAGGCTGCAAGAAGTGTGTCCTATGTAAGTCACAGCGCAGAACCAATAATAATGTTTTCTAGAATTGAAGGGTGCCTACAATAGAAGCTCTGGTGTTAGTGTATGGAGAAGCAAGTTTAGAGAGTTTTATTTCACATAGTTCTATATAAAGAGAGCTGAGCTTTTATGTGCTTTCAACAGATAACCCCAAGCACTGTCTGTCCTGCATTGAGGGCTTTTACAAGTAAGGCTGTGTGCCTGGCTGTCGCCAAGTGTGATCTCACCTCTGTTCCTTATTCTGTCTTTCCTTTCACTGCTATACCTGACCAAACAGGCTTCCTTTCTGCCGTGAGAGCAAAGTGGATTTCTATGTACTCATGGCCGCATGTATTGACTGCTACTTTTATCATCAGCTTTCAGGATGGCTGCTACAGAAGCTGCCCAGCAAAGACATACAGCGTGGAGGAGGACATGACCTGCGCTCCATGTGAGAACAACTGCATGAGCTGCGATGAGCACGAGTGCTACTGGTGTGAGACTGACCTTTTCTTATCAGGTAAAACTCATCCTGGTAAATAAAACAATAGCAAATGTTTTTTTCTTTCTAAACGATAAAAATCATGAGGTGTGAAACTGAATAACCACCATTATTAATTGTGGAATATAGAAATAAAAGACAATGACAAAAGAAATCTGAGGTGAGGTTAAAGAATTAAAAGTCTGTGAATTTATCACTGCTTTGTAATAATTATAAAATATTTGTTTTATTCAAACAATATTTAAGACTTTATTAACTGGGGTGAAAGAAAACTGAGTTATGGAATATATATTCATATATAAAAAATGACCAAACCTGACAGTCTTACTGAGAGAAATTTAGTTTTTTTTTTAATTAAAATTCACTGTACTTTTAAGTTGAGTATTGCTCAACGTTTATATAGTAGGGATGGGACGATTTATGAAAACCGTCAGAACCGTTCGGTTCGACTGTCTCGGTTCGGTTCGCGTGTGTTTCGTTCGGTTCATGCGCTGCTCCTTTTTCTCATAGGCGAAGCGATTACACTCCAGAGCAGAAGGTGGCGGTACTGCGACTAAAGCCAACTACCAGTAGTAAACAAGAAGAAGAAGCGAAGCAGCGTAGCCGGGTGTAGCAGGGAAAAAAATCAGTTGTTGTGGAGAATTGTGTCGGAATGGCGAGTGGGAAAGAACAGGAGTTGGAAGACGCGCCAGCAGCACTTTATAGGTCTGCTGTATGGGACCGCTTTGCATTTAGAGTGACCTACAATGACGGCGGAAAGAAAGTTGTGGATAAAAGTGCAACAGTGTGCGAGCATTGTGCAACACGTTCTGTTTACGCTAAGAGCAACATGACCAACATGTCATGCTAACCCCGAAATCCTTCATACTCCGTCAGCAACCCTCGCTCCGCCCCGCTGCGCTCCAGAACGGCTGCTCAAAGCAAAGCCTACAGCCTCCACTGTGGCTCCCTCCGTCCGCTCCCCTCTGAGTCCCTTGGAGATGGTAGAGAGCATGTGCGGGATGATTAAATTCAAAGCAGCAAAACATACGGAAATGATCCAGGGTTTCCGCAGATCATTTAAAATAATTACAATCCATTATTTTTTGGGGGATTTTTCATTCCATAAATTTTTATGGGATTTCGGTGTAACAATCTACATGTATCGAACCGAACCGAAAACCGTGACCAGAAACTGTGAATCGAACCGAACCGTGGATTTTGTGAACCGTTCCACCCCTATTATATAGCAATTCATAACTTTTGTAAAAATCAAATTCTTTGGGGACTCACATGTACACATGGGGACATTCTGGTCCCCATATAGTAAAGTTATCTTCTTTGAGTTGGAATTAGGTTTACGACTAAGGTGTGAATTCAGTTTAGGTTAGGGCTAGGTATACACTCACCGGCCACTTTATTAGGTACCCCATGCTAGTAACGGGTTGGACCCCCTTTTGCCTTCAGAACTGCCTCAATTCTTCGTGGCATAGATTCAACAAGGTGCTGGAAGCATTCCTCAGGGAGTTTTGTCCATATTGACATGATGGCATCACACAGTTGCCGCAGATTTGTCGGCTGCACATCCATGATGCGAATCTCCCGTTCCACCACATCCCAAAGATGCTCTATTGAATTGAGATCTGGTGACTGTGGAGGCCATTTGAGTACAGTGAACTCATTGCCATGTTCAAGAAACCAGTCTGAGATGATTCCAGCTTTATCACATGGCGCATTATCCTGCTGAAAGTAGCCATCAGAAGTTGGGTACATTGTGGTCATAAAGGGATGGACATGGTCAGCAACAATACTCAGGTAGGCTGCGGCATTGCAACGATGCACAATTGGTACCAAGGGGCCCAAAGAGTGCCAAGAAAATATTCCCCACACCATGACACCACCACCACCAGCCTGAACCGTTGATACAAGGCAGGATGGATCCATGCTTTCATGTTGTAGACGCCAAATTCTGACCCTACTATCCGAATGTCGCAGCAGAAATCGAGACTCATCAGACCAGACAACGTTTTTCCAATCTTCTATTGTCCAATTTCGATGAGCTTGTGCAAATTGTAGCCTCAGTTTCCTGTTCTTAGATGAAAGGAGTGGCACCCGGTGTGGTCTTCTGCTGCTGTGGCCCATCTGCCTCAAAGTTCGACGTACTGTGCGTTCAGAGATGCTCTTCTGCCCACCTTGGTTGTAACGGGTGGTTATTTGAGTCACTGTTGCCCTTCTATCAGCTTGAACCAGTCTGGCCATTCTCCTCTGACCTCTGGCATCAAAAAGGCATTTCCGCCCAGAGAACTGCCGCTCACTGGATGTTTTTTCTTTTTCGGACCATTCTCTGTAAACCCTAGAGATGGTTGTGCGTGAAAATCCCAGTAGATCAGCAGTTTCTGAAATACTCAGACCAGCCCTTCTGGCACCAACAATGATGCCACGTTCAAAGTCACTCAAATCACCTTTCTTCCCCATACTGATGCTCGGTTTGAACTGCAGGAGATTGTCTTGACCATGTCTACATGCCTAAATGCACTGAGTTGCCGCCATGTGATTGGCTACTTAGAAATTAAGTTTAACGAGCAGTTGGACGGGTGTACCTAATAAAGTGGCCGGTGAGTGTATGTTGGTAACGGTCAGGCTTAGGCCATATAAAATAAATGTAAGTCAATGAAATGTCCACAAAAACCAAGAAAACAATGTAAGTATGGGCGACTGTCCAGGTTGTACCCTGCTTATCGCCTTTAGACTTCTGAAGATAGGAACCAGCACCACATTTAGGCACATTTAGGCTGATCATAGTTGGAAGAAAACAACAACAACAAAACTGAATTTGAATCTTGTCCACTTTTCTATTTAAACTGTTACTTAGTTGTTTTTGTATCTTTTCTTTTTTTGGTTTGTTTGTTTTTCCCAAGTGTTCTAAAAAAACCCATCAAAAAGCAGTAAAATGGAAGATGACTAAATGTGCTGTTTTGCAGGATGCATTTAACATTGTGGAGGATAGCTTTGTCCTCTGTGGTATTTTTGTTATGTGATGAGGACAGTGTGGACTACTTCTAGAACAGGAATAAAAGAGTTTGGAGATATAATTAACATTTCAGAAGCCCTCTGAGCTACTGAAAGAATTTCATAAAGGCTTCAGTCTATATTTTGTACTGGGTGGCTTAGAAAGTGCTGTTTGTGAAAAAATACTCATTCACCAGAAATTCTATTAGGATATCAATATATATGAAAGCACAAAAGTTAATCTCTTTTCTAAAGTAGATGCTTGAATTCCAATGTGGAGGACTCTTATTTGTTAGTAGTTGAGCACATTAACCACTTCTCTAAATGTTTGCTTAGGTAAATAAGTGGTTGCACTTTAGACAGTGAGATCTCTCAGTGCTCCTAAGACACATATAAGTATATTCAGCATGAAATTAACACAATAAGGAAAACAAATGTCACTATTCTAACAATATACTGTAGCTCTGCACAATGATGACAAAAAATGGTATTACATTGCCATGTCAGTTCATTTCCGATTGTCAGAGATATTAATAGAATAGCTGCTCATGTTTAACAATAATTTTGCAACCAAATCATTTTGGGTCATAAGAATAGTTATTAATTTTCAAATGTTTTTTTACATCCCAAAAGACACAGTTGTTTTTTATTGCATTTGAGTCAAAAAAGTTTTTCCACATGGAGTTGTTTCATTATATTCTTTCCGACATTACCCAACCCTACAACCTTCTCCACATTTTGTCAGATTAGATTTGAAAACTTAATGAATTTTAGTTGACTTTTATGTAAGGAAGCAAATAATATATAGCTTACAAAATGTATAACAAAAAAAAATCTTAAGTGGAGAATCAGAGCCCTCTGAGTAAAGACTCAATATCTTTCATCCATATTTCAATCAACCTGATCAGCCGAGCTGTCTTATTGTCAGGTGTTATAGCCAACCCTCCATGGCCCAATTGTTAAAGGAATGACAATTATCTGTCTTGTTGACACCTGAGGTTACCACTAGCAACTTATCTGTAAAGGTGGGCGGCCTTGCTTGGGTTGACTGGCAGTTGTTACACCCACTGTGTACTTTTGGAAGGCAGGGTTCTTTGAAATGTTTAAGTTTAGGGCTATTGTTTTAAACTTCTCCTCATCTTCATCTTAAACTTAGACAAACTTTATTATTGTGTAAACAAAATGAAATTTCAATGCATCCATCTTTTCAACAGTGAATGAGCAGCTTTGCAACAAAATTAACATTTCCATTTATAAAGTGTAGCAGCAATCAAAGTATAAACATTGAAGATGAAAAGAAAAAAAACAAGCATTTTGAAGATATGGTGCAAAGGGCATTGATATGGTTTCAAAGCAGTACAAAATAAATAAATATGATGCAAAATGCAGAACACAGAGTTGAGTTCTATTTAAATGAATTTAAAAATTTGCCAGTAGTGCAAAAATGAAGTTATCAGTGTGATGCAGAGTCTTGATTTGGGACTTGATTAAAGATTCAACAGTTCAACTGTCTGATGGCAGAGGGGAAAAAGCTGTTGCAGAGCCTGCTTGTTCTGCATTGAATGTTGCAAAGCTTCTTCCCAGAGGGCAGCAGGGAGATCAGTCCAATGTGGTGGTGTTGGTGGTGTGAGGGGTCGTTGTTGATGTTACCGGCTGTGGAGACACAGCGCTGGGATGAAATGTCTTTAATGGATAGAACAGGAAACTCGATGATCTTCTCTGCTTTTCTCGCCACTCTTCTCACGTTCTTCCAGTCTGTGACGTTGCAGCCTCCACACCACACAGTGAGAAAGCTGCTCAGAATGCTTTCCATGGTGCTTCTGTAGAAGCACCAAGTGAGGATGGGCGGGGGCAGGTGGGCTCTCCACATCTTCTGCAGGAAATACAAGCATTTGTCCTGTCTGTGTTCTTTGGTCCTCATGATGCTTTTTAATTTTCTCTCACAAACTTATCAGATCACTTCAAAAGGCAGTCAGTATCATTGGATTTTGATCAAGAGTATTAGGGTCCCTTTGTTAATTGGTGCTTTGAAAACCATCCATCATTTTTCTCTCAGTTTACTCAGTGTTAAAAATGGTTAATAAAAATTAACTTAATAACTAACTTTTTATTTAGTCTTAGTCTAGAGGACTAAAATTATTATTAGACTTGATGGCTTTAGTCGGTTTTAGTCAACTAAAGCTTTTCGTTTTAGTCAGTTTTATGTTGTACTTAAAACAGTTAACCTTTACAATTTCAAATAACAACTTTAACAGACTAATACCTTTTGCCCAGATACTACAATTGCTGGGTATAGAATGCTGCTGTGCAGTTCATCATTGCTGTTTGGCAGACAACTTTGATTTATAGAATTCAAATTAACTTTTTTTATGAATTAATGCCGTACTATTTAAAAAAGTGTCTCACAAAAGCCGTGGAAATAGCAGATCTAGTTCGACACATCATATTGGTTAATATAGCAGACAGACAAGCAAACAAAATGTACAAAAAAGAATGGTTTTAGACATACAAGGTCCTCCATTCCAACACTTCCTGATCTAACATGAATTATACTTTACACAAAGATCAGTAAAATATTCATTACCCCCAAGAAACTAAGAACAGAAGAACAAAAACATTGTTCTTTGTACTTTGACAATTTTGACTTTATTTCTGAGAATTGTCTCTTTGTTTACCACTGCTCAGGGGTCAAAGTAGATTGACAAAATTGCCTTGTAATGCCATGGCAATCTAACCTGACTCCGCCAGATGGATTTGCTCCGCATATCCATCTGGAAACCTTCTGTTGAAGTAATTTTGGGAAGGGCCGAAAATAGTGGTTAGCTGATTGGCCTATGTTGGTGATAGACGGGCCAAATAAACCAATCAGATCAATGAAGCGTATGACGTACTAACAGAGTGACAACGAAAACACAACCACAAGCCAGGCTACTCTTGCCGAAACCAGTCGGGAGAAGAGCAAAAACATCTTTTCCTCTGAGAAAAGCCTCCTGAGCAGTGTTTTGCTCCTCTTTCAGTGAAGAAATACTCTGTAATTCCGATAAAACTTGCTCGATAACAGCTCCAAATTTTCTTTAACGGAGAGTCTCCAGACTGATCTGCGAGTGAAACCTTGAAAGCTCCCGAGATCAGGATGGTCTCACGAGGCTAATGGCAATCCAGACCTAAATTAAATGAATATGCTACGTAAAATATTGACATATTCAAAGAAACATAGAAAATGTCAATACAAATGACAATACAAGGAAACATTTACATCATATTTAAATAGATAGAAACAAGAACTATGAGAGAGAAATATTCAAAGATCTATGTACCTTTCCGTTTGAGTCTTTATCCAAAAACAATCAAAATGCAATATTTCTTTGGATATAATTTAGGGATCCTTTTGGTAGAAATTAAAGAAAGTGTAGCATCACCTCTTGTGAGCTGGAAGAAATAAAATATTGATAGTTGGACAAAGGGCTTATTTTCACGCTTGGCAGAGGATGATCAGCTATATAGTTTATTAAGTAGCAAGAGTAGGGAAAGCCATACAGCTGAGAGCGAACAATCAGTGTGGAGCATAAAGCGCAGACTCTGAGATACTCGGGTGCAAAGAAGCATTTCTGCACTCAATAGAGCAGAGTTTGTCAAAGTTCAGTGTGCAATACCGGACCATTCTGGGTTACATTCACCCCTGCCGCTGCTGCCATAATCCATGCTGATTATGGGCATGCTGAATGTGCACCACTGTACGCAAGGTGGGCGGCATGACCTAACAGGACGCAGTAGCACGGCTAATACTGTTTAGCTTTTATAACAGATTACAGCACAGTAATGCATTTTAAATATCTGACTGACCACCCGCCTATTTTATTAGTCTCATCTTGTTGACGAAAACTCAAACCTATGACTAGTCATGTTTTAGTCATCAATGATCCATGTTTAGTTTGTCAGTATTCGCTATCGTCATGAAAAAAAGGAGCATCAATGAACGCTGCTAGTACTGCTAGTAACATGAGAATTTTCTAAAAGTTCAATACTTGTATGCTGTATTGTTGTATAGTTCAATACTTTGTATTGCAGAGTCAATTAAATGTGAAAAATCTGGGGTTGAACATAAAGTAAACTTGTACAGGGAATAAGTCACATTTATGTGTCTCACAAATGGAACCTTCTCCCATTTTCTTTTCCAGAAGGGAAGTGTGTCCCAGTGTGTCCCGATGGTTTCTTCGGCAATGAAGACTTTAACGAGTGTGAGGAGTGTCACCCGGACTGTTCAACGTGCAGCGGCCCAGAGAACACCGACTGTCTGTCGTGTCAAGAGGGAAGGATGCTTCAAAACAGGGAGTGTGTGCCAGACTTTGAGGTCTGTCCTAGTAAGACCTTTCTCAACGGTGAGACTAATAACTTATATTCCACTAATCCAACTGTCTGCTCTTAATGAAGAAGGGATTTAGCCACTTTCAGAGGGGCAGAAATGAAATAGCGGAGGGTAATTGGTCTGTGTTCCACCGTCCCTGAACCCTGCACCATCTTACGGACTCAGAGCAGAACGAATGTCAAACAGATAGACTTTAGAATAATTAACTGTAAATGCAGCACATTTTGTTCTTTCCATTGACAGGCTTGAAACAACACTTAAATTAATGTTGGGCTAAAAATGAATCTAACAGAATTTGGCATGTGACCTAAAGGTTAAAATACTATTCTGGTAAAAGTTTGCTAGTAGTCACTATGGAAGTAAATGTCTATTTTAATTAAAGCCTTTAAAAGGAGACTGTAACAAAGCCTTCTGGTTGCCTTTTTCAGGGTAGAATTAACTTCATTTGCAAGGATTGGGTCTATATATTTTATTTTAGTGTTGATTTTAACTAATCCTTACTCTATTAAAATGTATGTATAAATCAAATTCATATTTCCCACCACAAAATGTTTAAATTTCAGTGAGTTGCCCTGTTTTTGTCTCCACTATCAAGCTTCTGTTATCATTTGGGCTGAGTATTTGACCCCACGTTTGGCCAGAAAGATAGATATAACCTTAGTTGATGTTTCATGGTTATTCTTGAGAACACTAAAAATGTATGCATTTCAAAATCCATTTTAATATGTGTATGGAATCACTGGCCAACTGGAAAGACCAATTACTCTATGTAAAATGTTTAACCATCTAGTCTAAAATGATGACAAAGGTGGCCAAGGAGGAGTCAAAGTTTTAAACGTAAGAGCACTGTAGTGGGAGAGGATGCACAAAGTGGACATAACATTTAATAATACATGTTATTTAAAAGTGGCCTATCTAGACACTCAAGGTCACTGTACAAAAGAGAAAAACACAATGGCAGAAACAAAGTTAAAACACAGAATAAAAACATTCCAAAATTACAACAGCTGGAAAGAGAAATGAATATTACAGATAGGCAATCTTACAAAGATGAGTTTTGAGTTGTGATTTGAAATTGAAAAGTGAGTCCGTGTTTCTAAGTAAGGGTGGTAGAGAGTTCCAGTGATGGGGGCACAGAGATTGCATGCTCTGCTCCCCGTGGTGGTGAGACAGGCAGAAGGAACAGACAGGTGTAAAGCACATGAGGATCTAAGAGCACGGGAGGGGGCGGGAACATGCAGGAGGCCTGACAGATATGGGGGGCAAGGTGCTGAAGGGCCTTGAATGTCACCATGAGAATTTTATATAATGCGGAACTGCACAGGGAGCCAGTGGAGCTGTCGGAGGACCTGGGTGATGTGGTAGATAGAGGGAGTTCTTGTGTGGAGGATACAAAGGCCAAGTCCACCCCCCCTCTAAAGTATGAAAAGTATGGAGAAGAAATAGATGAGAATGATGAAAGCAACTAAAAGTGCAATCAGAGACACAGCCCAGAAGCTAATAATAAGTAAATAAACAGAGCAAAACTAGATATGAGACTCAAACCCAACAGGAGACTGGGAAACCCCGAAACAATAATAAAGCTGAAGTTAAAAAAAAATCACAGAAAAGAGAGTGCCAGGCTATCCAAAACAATAGAGGAAGCTGCTAATAAGAAAATAAAGAAAACTCGAACTGAAATAATATCAACTGCCCTGATATGATAAAGTCCAACACATAACATTTTTTGATCCAGCAGGGCAAAGATCCTAAACCCAAATCAAAGCTACTATTCAAATGAATAATTCTAAGCTGGTGGAAAAAGCTCTGACCTGATATATATATATATATATATATATATATATATATATATATATATATATATATATATATATATATATATATATATATATATATATATATATATATATAAACAAATATATATATCAGTTGCATTTTTGATCTTGTCTGACACATTTTGACAACCATGGAGTAAAACAAAAACTTCTATAAATTAAATATGTTGCAAGATCCTTATGTTAAGTTAGTTATCTAATTCAGTTGTATATATTTCATCCCATAAAAATGAAGGACAGATAAAATGTATTGCTATATAGCCCAAAAGATTTCTGCCCGTGATCTTAATAAACATAAATGTTTTATTTAAAAAGCAAGCTTAAGATAAAATAATTGATATTCTTTACATTTCTGCAGTAAAGTTAGCCTAAATTAACAAATGAAACTGAAATATGAAAGGTGTCATCATGAATGTCATTGAATTGAAATTAATATGTTAGCTTTAAAACGCAACCAAGGTCGTAGGTTAGGCTATTTGCTCTTATTCAATGACCATTTGAGAAAAAAAATGTTTTAATACATAATAATAGATCTTCTCCCTACTAATTCAACTGGTATCCATAAAATGGAGATAGGATAAACATAAAAATAGAATTTGCGATCTGTAATTTTGATGCTCATGGCAGAATCGTGACTGCTTTGTTTTTTTTTTTCTGTTTACAATCATTATCCTAAAAACCACATTAAGCCAGGGATGTGTACTATGACGGTCCTGGATCACAGCTCAGCTGTCTTTCTGACAAAAACACTTTATCACTAGAGTAACATGATAATCCCTGCTTTGTTTTCCCTCCAGATAATGGCGTGTGTGAAGACTGTCACCAATCCTGTGAATTCTGCTCTGGACAGGCAAAAAATCAGTGCACAACGTGTGGAAAAGGTCTGTCAATGAGCCACTATCTTACAGATGGCTCTAAAGTTTTGTATTTCAACTGTTACAACAAATTACATCCAGCGCTCTTTCCTCCAGGGAGATTTCTGACTATGCAACAGACATGTGTGACGAAGTGTCCTGCGGGCTTCTTTGCCAGCCGACTGAACGGCGTGTGTGAGGCCTGCCCTCAGGGCTGCTTGCAGTGTGTTGATGCTCGTCACTGCAGCCGCTGTCAGAGCTCTCAGAAGGCTCCATTGTTCCTGCAGAATGGACAGTGTGTTACAGAGTGTGTCGGGTTAGGAGTCTATCTTGTTACTGTTTGATTACTGTGCTCAGGGTTTCTTTTTAACTTGGTTTGACATTTGATTTTTATCAGTTTGGGAAAATGTAACCCTGCTGAAAATAACATATTGTAATTACACCACTAGAGAATCAGGAACAATAGTTGAGGCGTGTAAATTCTGGAAATATTTGATGTTATCATAATATTTTTCTAGTTTATCATTTTAGGCGCCTAAACTTTGACACCAGCATGTCTGGAAGTACAGTATTGTCTCCTCTAGTTGTCATATTTGGATTCTACTAGATTGTTTGGATATATCATTAGTTAGTTTCTTAATTGAGGAACTTGTTTAGCCCAGAAGCTTCTGTGACCTATTCACATGCAATGCAAGTCAGATTTAAAAATAATAATAAAACAAAAACAGAGATAACTTTATGTCATTGTTTCATATGTGTTGTTGTGCAGCTAAGAGTAAATCTGAAGAATTTTTTTCTACAGCTGTTTATGCTTATATAACATTGTAAAAACAGTAGGAGTATAAGGAGCCAAACATTTAATTGAGGTTTTATTACAAACGTCATGGACCAACATACTTAGTTAGCTAGTTAGTTACTTTCTGGAATAGAAAAGAATTTCTGGATAAAATGATTTTTTATGTTTTTTTTACTTTGTACAGTAGTTGCAATATTCTATAATATACAAGATATTTAAATTTCATTTTATTTGAATAACTGTTAGCTACATAAAAAAAATACGATGTGGAAAATGACATGTAATTTTAAATCCAAGCATGGTCAATTTTTTTATATGTAATTTATCATCATAAACATTGCAATCTCTCTTTCTATCTCTCTGTATATATATATATATGTTATATATAGAGGTTTCATAGGCAGTTGTATTCAAAAATAATTTTTTAGTACCCAATAATTAAATGCTATGCAATTAATTGCTTTCAAAAGTCACCTAAGTGTAGGTGAGCCACTCTTTCAATCTCTGTATGAGTCCAGCTGATTTATGAAGCTGTCAAGAGGTGTATCAGAGAACAGTAGAAAACAAACTGCATCACGGAAAAAAAATCATACAAATCACTAAAGAAGCTTAAAATCGAATTGGGTTGTGAAGAAATATCCTTACACTTTGAAAATCACCAGAGTCATTATTGAATCTATTATCTGAAAATAGAAGAGTACAGCACAATGTTAAACCAAGAAAGACATGGCCCGCCACCTGAACTGGCAGGCAGACCATTAATTGGAGAAGCAGCCAGGAGATTCTTAGTTGGTCCAGAAGAGCTACATAGGTGCATACTACCGGTCGGGGAATATGTATGTATGAGATATAGGTATAAAAAGCCCTGTTTGCATTAAATATGTGAAAAAAGGTGCTCTCGTCAGAAAAAAAACACATTTATCCTATTTACCCACATGGAAAACAATAGCACATCATCCTGAAAACACTTTCCTCATAATTATTGTAATATTGTGTTTTTGGATTATTTTCATCTACAGTAAAGGGACCTGAGAAGCTGCTGATGGTTTAAAGGAAGATAGATGGAACTAAATACAGAACAATTAGTCATTAAAAGCAGCAAAAAACTTAAGATTAGGTCTGAGTTAACCACCCAGCTGAACAATATCCCTAAACATACAACCAAAACCACATTGAAATGATTAGGATAAAAAAAGTTCAGTCCAGAACCCTGGGCAACTTCAGTTTAATAGATCATTGACAACCTCTCTGATCAAAATGAGCTCAAGGTATTTTACAAATAAGCGTGAGCAGTAGATGTAAAAGGCTGGTAAAGACAAAACCCAAAAAGGCTTAAAACTGTGCCTACATCAAAAGATTTACCAAGAATTGACCAGATGCATCATATTTTAAATTATTTTGACACCAAAGCATCCTCCTGCTTCTTCTCAAACATACAATCTTTCCTCATTTTTTGTGCATTCAATCTAAATAAACAAGTAATAACATTAAAAGAATCGTAAAAGTTTATGTGGTAGGAGTACTTTTCCTAGACACTGTCTTGCACTGTGCATTAATGCTTGTTTCCTGTACCGTAATTTTACTTTTTTCAGTTTTTATTCGCCTACTGATATGTTGTTCATTCTCTGCAGGGGATATCCTGTAGGCCAGCTGTGCCTCAGCTGTGCAGTTGGCTGTGCGTCCTGTGAGAAGAATGCCACTCACTGTCTGACCTGCAACGATCCTCTTCTTCTGCATGATCACCAGTGTGTGCAGGAATGTCCTCCAGCACACATCGTTCATGATAAGGAGTGTCATCGCTGCCCCCCGGCCTGTAAGGACTGCAACCACCTCGGACAGTGCACAGGTAGAAAAAAAACATAAGCGTAAACATAAAGTACTTTTAAAAAAACTTATTTTAAACCTGTTTCTTTTCATGGCTAGAAACCAGAGTTTTCATTTAATGGAATAAAATCATATATTTTAGGTTCTCATTTAAAATTTTATGCACGAATCAATATTAGGCTCATCTTTTTCCACATATTGCTTTTCTGAAGTGTCTAGATTAAAAAGAGCATGGTTTAGTTCATGACTCAAATGTAAAAGATGATTTTTAGCCAACTGAAACCCACTTTGTTTCATTTTACTTACATCTACTTGTTATGAAAAAAAGTTTTTCTTGGATTTAGTTGGAGAGTTTCCCTGTTTTTGCAGGCTGCGAGGAGTATCACTTTCTCCACGAGGGCCTGTGTTTGCCAGACTGTCCGGAGAAGTTCTTTGAGGACATTGAGCGAGGGGAGTGTCTTCACTGTCACACTGATTGTGCTCTCTGTGATGGCCCAAACAGCAATGACTGTGATGCCTGTGTCCACCCTGAAGCCACCCTGCACAATGGGGCCTGCATGGCACCGTGCCCCTCAAGCACATACAGGGATGCAGTTACAGGAGAGTGTAAAGGTACAGTACCTCTCCCAATTCACAACATGCATTAAAGCTAAACGACTTTGGAACAGATGACTTGAAATGGTGAATTTGAAGAAAAAGCTGCTCATTTAATTCAAATTAAGTCGCAACTGAAAGTATGCCAAAGTCGTTTGTTATCTCTTAAACTAAGTTTTCTGTCCCGAAGAGCACCCTTCGTGCATTTCCTCAATTATATTCTCTACTTTGCCTGAGTGTGTTTCTTGACGATGGCTCAGACTAAAATAGCAACCCTTTGCAGACGGTTAACAGGCAGCTGTCAAACGTTGGAACTGCATAGTGATGCCAGCGACAGTTCCCTGGAGGAAGACACACTGCTCTGGCTTTGTTTTTCTGTTTTTTTTTTTCGTGTTTTGTTTTGCTTTTTTTTTTTTTTCAAAAACGCTGAGGATGGTGTGTTTCTCACAGAAGGAAATTGTAGGCAATGTCTTTTTTAGTTGCCACTTAAAGGAGGTGCAAGTAGAAAGATACTTTAAGGGAATAGCACTGCTGTGCTGAAAAATTATTGAGATACAGAAAATAAAAATTGTATTTTTAGACAACTGGTTGAAAATTGTCAAGTAAAATTTGTAGTAAATAAAATGTATACAGTACAGTCTGTTGTAAGAGAACTTATCCCCTTGAAACATTTTCACATTTTGTCTTGTTAAAAGTACACTTGGAATTACCATACCCCTTATATGATAGCCCTGCACAAATAAGGCAATAAATATCAAGTGGAAGCTTATAATATGCTTTCTTTCAGGATATCCTTGTATTCATCCCAACTCTTCTCATCCGCATTAATCCTTGTCCCTGTTACTGATAAAGAAAGGCATCCACACATCATGATGCGGCCACCACCATGTTTTACTCTAAGGAAGGCATGTGTAGGTGTTCTGAGCAGTGTTTGGAGCAGGAGCGGTTCAGTACATAAGAACACAAAAATAACTAGAATAACACAAAATGGAAATGAAACCAATGAAAACTAAAAAAAAAAACTTAAACAGAACCAAAACAGTCACAGCATGGTGGTAAGTAATAAATGTACTGATACATCCTTTGATTCACTTACTATGACTTTTCTCTTCTCAGAATGTGATGATTCATGCCTCACATGTTTTGGGCCCCACATGGGTTCATGCACCAGCTGCAGGGAGGGTCAAAACTTGGATGGCCACAACCGGTGTATCCCTCTGGCCAACAAGTGCTCGCCTCATCAGTATGCTGACGAGGACAGGGAATGCCATCCTTGCCACAAGTACTGCCACAGGTGTTCAGGTCCCGGCAAAACCCATTGTTTGAGCTGTAATCAGGGACACTTTCTGCTCGGTAAGCCCAGTTTAGTTTGGGTTAATTCTCGAAACTTTAAGCTTCTTTTGCTTTTGCAATGTCTACTGTGGCTGGAAAAAATCTATTTCCTATCACATCCCTTCTAATATTAATTATGAGTGCTGAATTTTATCTACCTACTTTTAAATGTATTAGCTCAAGCAGAGCACCTGCTAGACAAGCCTGAATTTGGGTCTTTTCTTACTGAGGTAGCTGTTTTACAGTTTTTGTTTTGGTAAGAGACTCCTTTAGACTGAAGGTTATTTCAACAATCTTTGTGTTTGTGGAAAACTGTCTACTTTGTGAGAATTTCTCCCTGTGCTTCTTAAGTAGTTAATAAAATCCTGTGTGAGCAGAACAGGCAGCAACATTGGCAAGCTTGTATCTGTTCTTCCTTGCAAGGGTTAATAAATGCTGCTTGAGTGGAAAACATTGAATCACAAATTCTTGTTAAATAAACATTTAGCCCTTTTTTCCCCAACAACACCTATGCATGTGTGTGTTTTTGCAGATGGTGCTTGTGTAGATGAATGCCCAACGGGCTATTATGAAGAGGAGTCAAAATGTAAGCCGTGCCATGTTTCCTGTCAGTCCTGTGTTGGAAAGCTGAGCCACCAGTGCCTCACCTGCAAAGCCCACCTGTTCCGAGAGGCCAAAGAGTGTGTGGAGAGCTGCCAACATGGGTAGTCTAACCTGTTTACTCTCAAGCAATGCTGCTCACCCATTAGAGTTTTCTTAATGAATGATCACCCCGGACACAAAATGCCATCTTGGATGCTAAGAGATCACCAGACAGGTTTCTAAAATGCATTCTAATTTAGTTTGGGATTTAAATGCTCCTTTATGAGGCTCAGTGCAGTAACTGAGAGGGACAAATTAATGTGGCGGAAAATTGATGTGCAGTTAAATACCCAAGAGAAAAGCAAACAGGATACAGAGAGAACATAGCATCAGAGCAGCATGTGGACAGTGCTACACCTCTCATCAATGACTGGGAGTCTTTTATTATAGCTGCATCCCCTCTGTTATTTGTTTTTCATGTCATATATTGGATGTGCTGGATGAGTCTAACTATATGTGTGGCTGTGAAAAGGAATTTCTCGTGGGAAAACTCTAATTTCATTTCATTTAATTGAATCTAATCTATCATAACTTTCGCCATCTGTCCTCTAGTCACTATGGAAACCCTGTCTCAAGGATTTGTGAAAAGTGCGACCCAAGTTGCAGTGAGTGCATTGAGGGCGGGGAGGACAGCTGCCTGAGCTGCGCTCCGGGCCTTGTCTACCTGCGGAAAGAAGGTTGCTGCTTGCCGTTCTGCCCTGAGGGTTACCATCATGATCCTGCACATAGGACCTGTGAGCCCTGCCATGATGGCTGCAGAACATGCTCAGGTAAAAATATCTATTATAAAGTCAATTTATAAAACTTTACTACATATACATAGATAACAATTACAGCATAAATCCGCCCATACACAGACACTCTAAGGTATTTATGTAATATTTTCTCCCTTATCTTAGAATATGACCTTAATCTTAGTAAAGTCCAATTCATGAAAAGCGTGCTATGAAGACAACAAATTTAAACTAAACCAGTTTAACTGTGTTTGACTGTTATGCACTCATACCTGGACACAGATTAGAGTGGGCATGATATTAAGAACTCTCCACAATACTAAACATAACACAATGAAAGGAGCGAAAACAGAGATGGAATGATTTTCTTACCATTAAAAGCGAACTTTGTACTTACACTGACAGGAAGATGAAACAGGAAGAGCTGCTGTCAGACTTGAGCCAATTATAGCCACTGAGGGCATAAATTTGCCTCTCACTCTTTCGGGGAGACAAGACCAGTTTTAACTTCTTCTAACCTCAAAACTATACAGTTATTCAGAAAGAACTGATGTTAACCCCCTTTTAACCATAAAACATATTTATTTCAACCATGGTCAAAATAGCTATAGCCGTTTTCAGATAAAGGAGAGAGCGAAACTCAAGGCACAAAGGAAGCGAAAATTGGCATTGGAGCATAAAGATATGGTGAAAAGAATTAGGTCAAGCACTCTCTGCATGTGTTTTTCAGCCCTGCTTCTCTGCTTGCGTTAGGCTGGTCGTTCTATCTGCACACACACATCATGTAGCTTCCTCTGCCTTAAATGGTCATCCCTCCTGGTGTTTTAAAAGCGGACTACATCACACTAAATACATTCCCTGAGAATCTGTGGACAGTTCGGCTCCAACCTCTTTCATATTGGCTTTTTTCACACATGTCATTCACAGCTGGATGTTCTGAGCTAAAAGATGCTCTCAACTGGTTGTGTGTGTGTGTGTGTGTGTGTGTGTGTGTGTGTGTGTGTGTGTGTGTGTGTGTGTGTGTGTGTGTGTGTGTGTGTGTGTGTGTGTGTGAATGTGGGTGTGTGTGTGTATATGTGTGTTGGGGGGTGGCATTGGGGATTGGTGCAAGTATCATTCATTCATTCATTCATTCATTCATTCATTCATTCATTCATTCATTCAGGAGCAGGGGCTATTCAATGGTCATTCCTTTAGATTGCCATAAGTCATGCTACCAATCTTCTGCTTCTTGCAAGACACAGGTCAGCTGCTTAGACACCACTTCAAAATATCTATAAATTACTTTTTGGTTCAATGCTTTATTTAGAACAGAGGCCCTGCCCACTCATCTGTACTTTGCATAACGTTCAGTTTGACACACTCTGTCTAACATAATCAAAGCGTGTTTAGATGGATGCTGATCAGATCATGGATTGGCACAAACCACCCCTTTTAATGGGAATATTTTTTATATACAGTATATGTATATATATATATATATATATATATATATATATATATATATATATATATATTGAGATGAGTGCGACTTTTTTGTCATTTTCTTATTGTCAACTCTTGAATCCAGTTACCCATTTCTAAGTAAACATAGAAATGGGTAACTGGATATTATTCAAAGAGCTGTATGCGGGTATTCTGTGGCCATAAAACTCATTTTATTCATTGAGTTCTTTGTTTTTGGTCAGGTTTCCTGTTTTTCTCTGTGTATTTAGTCTTTTTTTTTTGTTCTTTCAGTCATAGTTCTCTATCAGCTGTAATTATTCACCTAATTAGATCACCTCCCCTCTGTTACACTAATCTCTTTAACTAGCATCACGGCTTTGTTTTCCGTTCCTGGGCTTGTATTTCCTGTTGTGCTTCAAGCAAAGTTCTGTAAGCTTACTTTGTGTAGTTCCTATGAAGATCTTGCTTTGACTCTGTATTATATGTCATACATTGTTTTGTTTTTTTTTCCTTTTTTTTTTTATAATCAATACAAGAAAAGTAGAGTGTATGAGGATGATAATGATGATGGATGTTATGTGTAGTTCTTCCTTCACCAATTATTTAAAGAAAGATGATATACAGGTGCTGGTCATAAAATTAGAATATCATGAAAAAGTAGATTGATTTCAGTAATTCCATTTAAAAAGTGAAACTTGTATATTATATTCATACATTACATACAAACTCATATATTTCAGATGTTTATTTTGTTTAATTTTGATGATTACAAATGACAACAAATGAAAATCTCAAATTCATCATATCAGAAAATTAGAATATTGTGAAAAGGTTCAAAATTGATGGCCCCTGGTGCCACACTCTAATCAGCTAATTAACTCAAACCACCTGCAAAAGCCTTTAAATGGTCTTTCAGTCTAGTTCTATAGGCTACACAATCATGGGGAAGACTGCTGACTTGACAGTTGTCCAAAAGACGACCATCGACACCTTGCACAAGGAGGGCAAGACACAAAAGGTCATCGCTAAAGAGGCTGGCTGTTCACAGAGCTCAGTGTCCAAGCACATTAATAGAGAGGCGAAGGGAAGGAAAAGATGTGGTCGAAAAAAGTGTACAAGCAAGAGAGATAACCGCACCCTGGAGAGGATTGTGAAACAAAACCCATTCAAAAATGTGGGGGAGATTCACAAAGAGTGGACTGCAGCTGGAGTGAGTGCTTCAAGAACCACCACACACAGACGTATGAAAGACATGGGTTTCTGCTGTCGCATTCCTTGTGTCAAGCCACTCTTGAACCACAGACAGCGTCAGAAGCGTCTAAAGAGAAACAGGACTGGACTGCTGGTGAGTGGTCCAAAGTCATGTTCTCTGATGAAAGTAAATTTTGCATTTCCTTTGGAAATCAAGGTCCCAGAGTCTGGAGGAAAAGAAGAGAGGCACTTCATCCACGTTGCTTGAAGTCCAGTGTAAAGTTTCCACAGTCAGTGATGGTTTGGGGTGCCATGTCATCTGCTGGTGTTGGTCCATTGTGTTTTCTGAGGTCCAGGGTCAACGCAGCCACATACCAGGAAGTTTTAGAGCACTTCATGCTTCCTGCAGCTGACCAACTTTTTGGAGATGCAGATTTCATTTTCCAACAGGACTTGGCACCTGCACACAGTGCCAAAGCTACCAGTACCTGGTTGAAGGACCATGGTATCCCTGTTCTTAATTGGCCAGCAAACTCTCCTGACCTTAACCCCATAGAAAATCTATGGGGTATTGTGAAGAAGAAGATGCAATACACCAAACCCAACAATTCAGAAGAGCTAAAAGCCACTATTAGAGCAACCTGGGCTATCATAACACCTGAGCAGTGCCACAGACTGATCGACTCCATGCCACGCCGCATTGCTGCAGTAATACAGGCCAAAGGAGGCCCAACTAAATACTGAGTGCTGTACATGCTCATACTTTTCATGTTCATACTTTTCAGTTGGCCAACATTTCTATAAATCCTTTGTTTTTATTGGTCTTCAGTAATATTCTAATTTTCTGATATGATGAATTTGAGATTTTCATTTGTTGTCATTTGTAATCATCAAAATTAAACAAAATAAACATCTGAAATATATGAGTTTGTATGTAATGTATGAATATAATATACAAGTTTCACTTTTTAAATGGAATTACTGAAATCAATCTACTTTTTCATGATATTCTAATTTTATGACCAGCACCTGTAAAGGTTGACATTGTTTTGAATGTGCTGAAAAGAAGTGCACACCAAAGTAATTGGAAGCTTCAAGATAAGTACAATGTGAGATAATTTGAACTATTATTAGATCTGGCTTAAACATATGTGATACGGAGAAACCAAACTATACTGTAGATGGCTCATATATAATAGCAATGCACATTGGTAATACCATACTTCTCATAAATGAAGGAAATTATGTTTCTTTTTAGCATAATTTCTTTTGAAACTGAGTTCATACCACTGTGGAATATATTTTAAATGATCCAGAAAATAGGCTGCAAATTACTTACACAATTACTTCCTGACAGATGAACTGAATAATAATGATTTTACAAAGACATCTGTCAAAAAGTTAGAAACATTAGAAGCTGTTCATTTTTTGATCATAATGGGATAGCATCAGCAAAACAGTCAGCATAACTGGCACGCAAATGACTAGCTGTCAGTGAATCCTCAGAGCACTAAGACTTGTGGTTTGACACACTCATGCAGGGCTTAGCACCGACCAAAAGGGATTCATGGAGAAACAAACTCTGTGTAACACGGTTGGATCTAACTGGTCTTCGTGGTCTGATAAGATTTGTTATTACACAAACTGCTAAGGAATCCTACTTAGGATTTGATACTGCATGCTTAGAACAAACATGGAAATGCAGCTTTTGATGTATGTGACTCTATGGCTGTAGTCAGAAAAAATATCCTAAATGCTCTCTAACTCAATCAATGCTTACTTTGCATCAGAGCTGCAAGTCATGAAAGACAGCCTTGGTTTCTTAACAATCACGTTATAGTTTTTGCTTTGAGTGAAAAACAGGACTATGCTTTACCATAGCCTGACTGTCCTAAAAGACTAAAGGGAGGCTGTAGGTTGGCCCCTTATTAGGGTTAATTAAAGGAAATTGTCCTTTGGGGTACAATTATACTTGAAATATCACCTCTTTCAAACCTTTCAACAACAACAGTCGTTAACATGTGTGGTTTTATGTGAAAGTCTTGCATAAAGTAGTGCATTGCTGTAAAACAAGGGAAGTTGTTACACCTCGGAGGAGCACTATATATCCCTGGCTCTTCTTGGGGTAACCACCAGACTCTTGAAAGCCCAGCATTCCTAGTTTTGACCCCCTGATATTGACCTGTATCATTCCTGTGTTCTCTGTTGGATACTCCATCGACCCCCTGTCCTGTGCGTTGGCCTAGTCTATTTGTCTCTGCTCCTGTCTTGATTGCTTTGTCAATCATGTATGACCCAAGCCTAGAACTCAGATCTGCCTCTCTTCTCTGTACCTCTACCCTGTTAATGTGCCTTCTGTAACAGATTCTCTCACCTGGATCCCGGATTCCCCTCTCATC